CCATCAACTACTCCTAGTGTATTAGGAACTATATGATTTGTTACTTTTATTGAAGATTTTTCTATAACTTAAATTTTTATTTTAAATTATAAGTCATAAGTAAGTAATATATTACAATAATTCTTCTCTCTCATTAAAAATCAATTTATAATGAAAATAAATAAATTTAGATCAAATAATGGGAAATGATGTTATCCATAATACTTTAACCATTCTATTACATGATTCTCTTTTTAAGTGAAGTAATTATCCATAAGTCGCCATACGTCTACACTCCACAACAAAAATGATGTTACACATGTAAAGAACTGACATATATTAGAAATGGTTAGATCACATATATTTCAAATAAAATGTCAAAAACTTTTTAGGGTGAGGCTGTACTCATGGCTGTCCACCTCATTAATTGTTCACCTACTAAAATTTTATATTTAAGAGTCCATTATATGTCTTCTCTTTATTTTATCCTCAAGTATCCTTGAAAAATAATTTGGTTCCTAAAGTATTTGGGTGCTCTTATTTTGTTCATAACTATGAACTAACAAAAGGTAAACTTGATCCACATACTATTGACTATGTTTTTTGGCTACTCAAATACAAGATATGGTTATAAATATTATTTTCCTCATTTGAAGAATTTTTTTATTTCTAAAGATGTAACTTTTCATGAACATAAAATTTACATTGATAAAATTATTCTTCAAAAGAAAAATCATGTAATATTATGAAAAAAAATAATATTGATGGAAATAACTTTATATTATTATATAGACCTTCCAATAAAAAAGTACTAGTATCATGAGAAATTAGTGAACAATCTAAACTCATAGACCATATTGATCATTACTAAAATTTAGAGGGAATTAAAAATGAAGATGAGGAGCCACTAGTACCACTAGAAAATAATGAAGAATTACTCATAGCTCTTCAAAAAGGAAAATTGAAGATTATTAGAAATCCATGATATCTTATTTCTAATTATGTTATATGAATGCTTGTCACCCTCATATAGAACTTTTCTTACTACTCGAGTTTGAATTTTTTTTATCTAATATATTAAAAGCATTAAGTAGAGATTAATGGAGACAAGCTATGGAGGAAGAATTAAGGGCCTTTGAATAAAATTATACATGGAATTTAATGAGTCTACCAAAAGGAAAAAAAGTTGTGAGATGTAAGTGTGTCTACACGATCAAATATAATGCTGATAGCATAATAGAAAGATATAAAGTTAGGTTAGTGGTCAAGAGATACACTCAAACCTACAACATAGATTACCTAGAAATATTTGTTCTCATTGCAAAGATGAATATAATTAAGATTTTACTTTTCTTAGTAGTACATTGAGAATGAGACATTGAACAATTTGATGTGAAAAATAACTTTCTACATGAAGACTTAGAAGAATATTTATATATATATTATATTAAATGTACCTCAAGGATATAATAAAAATATAAAGAATAGTGTAGTGTACAACTTACAGAAGGTATTGTATGGACTTAAGTAATCATCTATGGCCTAGCTTGATTTTTTTTTTTAAATAATGTGAGTTAAGATATAAATCATCTAACACATAGATCACACATTATTCATTAAACACTCAACTTCAGCGAGAATTACAATTCTTTTAGTACATGTGAATGATATCATAATTGTAGAAAATGATAAATGTGAAAGAGAATCATTAAACAAGAATCTATTGAAAGAGTTTCATATTAAAATATTGAGAAAATAAAATTATTTCTTAAGGATAAAAGTAGCCTACTCTAAACAAGACATTTATTTCTTAACAGAAGTATATTTTAGACCTATTATGAGGCATTGAAAAATTAGAATGTAGAACATATCAATAGATCCTTATTGTAAACTTATTGAAACTAAAGAAAGTAACAAAACATATGCACCCTGATATCAAAGACTTCTAGAAAAATTAATATATATCTTTCATACTAGACCTCATATCCCATATGATGTTGGAGTACTTAGTCAATTTATGTATAAAACTATGTATATCTCACTTGTTTGTTGCAGAACGAGTTCTTTAATATTTTATATAAGAAGCAAAATAAGTTAGACATTGAAGTATACACTAATGCAGATTACGTAAGTTTTAACATTGGTCAAAGATTTGCATCAAGATATTGTACCTTTCTAAGTGGCAACCTCATCTTTTGATGGAGCAAGAAACAATATGTAGTGTCAAGGTCTAGTGTGGAATTAGAATTTCGAGCAATGACGTAGGGGTTTTGCAAAGTATTATGAGTTAAAGAAATCTTGAAGCATTATGAGCAAGTCAATTCAACTGTACTACGACAAAAAATCAACTATAAATATTGTGCACAATCTAGTCCAGCATAATCATACGAAACATATAGAGATTGATCGACTTTTTATCAAGGAGAAGCTATATTAAAGAATTATTTATACACCATACATTTTCACCTATGATCAACTTGCAAATGTATTAACTAGGGGATTAAGTGGATCAACCTTTCTTGGTCTTATATCTTAGTTGAGATTGGATGATATCTATTCACTAACTTAAGAAGAAACATTAATGGGTCAAATTCAAGAATAAGTGGATTTAGTAGATGGATTCATTCCATTATGTATATATATAACATGTACCTTTTCTCCCTTTCAATCTTAATGAATCATTTTTCTCTCTCCATGATTTTTCCCTCTCTCTTGTCTCTCTTGTATGATGGCTAGGGTTTACGACTGTTCTTCTTCAGCGGGATCATATGCCAAACGATAAGGTTTTTGCATGTTCTAACAAGGCCTAATCCCCGTAATGCCTCCTCATATGAGGACTCTACAGCCACATGGCAAGGTTGGGGGAACGTAAATAGCCCTCAAGTTATATAGTGAGATGAGAAGTATCTAGAAGTGATGAAATTTTTTGCTTAATACATTTTGAAGGCCTTTTAGAGTATAACTATAGAAAATTATATTTTTAATTATGACATCATCATAATTTGAAATACTTCAAAGTGAAATTAGGGCAAGATTGGTCTTCTTGGAAATTCTATTATTTGTTCATTGACAAAATAATTTTAAATATGGTGTAATAGAAATTGTAAGAACTGATGATTTGATCACATTCAACTTTGACTAAATATTTTGAAAATTAAAATCATGACCTTGAGTCTGTAAAAAATGTGATTTTGTAGAATGGCTTTTACCTTGAATCTATAGAATAAAGGGATTTTGTCCCTTCGACGTACTTTTGGCATCTCTATCATTATTTGTGTACCATATTAACTTCTTTTGGCTTCTATTGAATCAAATAAGTTTGATTGAACATCTTTTAAATTTTTATATATTTAATTTATAATTTATTATTATTACTATTATTTTAATATTATTTATATTTTTGATATTAACATATATATACAAGGTATGCTCCAAGTTTTTGACTACTACTTAGTGTCGAAAATGAGTTTGAAAAAGCATCTAAAAGGGTGAAATTTAGGTAACTTTTCCAGGAGTCCTCCATCAGTGGTTGTGAATGATTGACTTTTATCAATCTTTTGAACTAGTTATGGATAGTTCCAATAAGATTTCATTCTTGAACAAAAATCTATTTTTGGATTTATTTCAGCTATTCTATGACCGGAAAAATGGGGGATACACGTTATGCCATGATTTTGAATCAAAAGAGAGATTTCAATAAATGGTGGATCTATTCACTCTATCAATAGCCAAGCCGGATCTGGTTGAATAGTTGTCTCAGCTCCTTGTTGTTTGAAGAAACCCTCCCCTTCAAGTGGTATTTTTTCACGAAAAGCAGACATGAGATAACAAATCAAGTCTTTCCCTAAGATTTCGAATAGCTGTCCCAAATTCACTTAGAGTATGGGGTCAGAGAGCCAAAATAAGTGAGTCATTTTTAGCCCTTATAAAAGAATGATTCTTGAACCTCTTTCACGTTCAGGTCACATCAAGGTACTGCAGAAAAAAAAACTGCAAAATTCGATCCAGTTTATCATAATTGATTAGTTAATGTATTGGTTAACTATATTCTGAAACATGAAAAAAAATCATTAGCTTGCAATATTGGACCTTAGACATATAATAGTTACAAATAGAATCTCTTTTAGAAAGAAGATCCTTTGTCTCACGGTATCCTGCTCCAGTCCCCTTAAGAAACATTCGTTATTGGGTTAGCCATACACTTCACATGTTTCTAACGATTTACATGGCATCATCAAATGATACAAGTATTGGATAAGAGTTTACAAGTGATTGATCATAAGTTCATATAATAAAAAAAAGCCTATGAATCCACAAGGATACTAGATCTACTAGCAGAAATATAAAACCTTCAAAGATGAAAATAACTCAAAATAAATTGATGAAAACGTGAATACATCTCCGACTACAAGGGTGTTCTTTTTTATATGCTGAAATCTAACTATAACTAACCTAGAAAAAAATAGAAATTAAAACATGTCTGAAAAAAATACGGTTTATTAAATAAACTTGACAAATTTAGAGGATCATTTGAAATTAAAAATCGTGGAAATTGAGATTTACCACATTTAACATGTGTCAAATTGGGCTATTTCGAATTGAATTTGGGCTGAATTATGTTTTCATGCATCATGAACCTCTGATCCATTTGAATTGAGTTGAAATTGGGCTGCGTATTAAAGATATGTTTGAAGATTACCTTTTTTATGACAACCAACGCATAGATTTAGTTCATATTGATCGCATATTATGAATTCTTATGTACTAAGATGAAAACATCAATCGTATTAAAAGATATTTAAGATATTGCTGTTGATGGTTATAGAACCATTAGAAGAAAGGTTGCAAAATCACACCGAGGAAGAAAAATGAGGTGAAAGAAAATAAGAAAAATTCTCAAGTCTTATTAGTACAACATATATTAAGTGACAGCCATAATCCAGGGATTTCTAGTGTAGTTCGAGCTAAGTATGCTTGAGGATCTTTTCCATCGCGAAGATGGAGGGGGGGGGGGTCACCACTTACATCCTGGAGATCTGAAGTGGAACCATGGCTTCGGCGGCCTCCTCCCTGCAGGCGATCTGGAGGAGATCTGCGCTGCCATGCAGCGTCGAGAGATACCTTCCGCACGCCTCGGCGGCGAAGACACCGGCGGAGTAAGCGCCGTGGACGGAGCCCGAGTGGTCCACGCTCGCCGCCTCGCCGGCGAAGAAGAGGTTCTCCACTGGCGCCCTGTACCTCTCGTACAGGCCCTCTGGCTTCCCCACCAAGTCACAGGAGTAGCAACCGAGCGAATCGGGGTCGCTGCCCCAGCGCGAGACCAAGTACTGGACCTGCACGGGCAGGAGAAAAGGTTAGTCGGCTTTGGGATTGGGCCATCGCTGACTGGTGGAGAGTGCACGTCGGCTTACCGGATCGGCGGCGTCGGCGAACATCTTCTTCAGGTGGAGCATCGCGAAGTGGGCCGCTTCGTCGTCGGAGAGCTTCTCCATGTCGCCGGCGAGGGTTCCGGCGGCCATGAAGACGAGGACTGGGTGCCCGCTGGCCTTGTGGAGGTTGAGGAAGTAGCCGCAGGCGTGGGAAGTTGGGGCGACGACGCCGAGGAACTCGACGTTGGGCCAGAAGACAGTGCTGAAGCGGAGAGCGATCTTGTTCTCGTTCCCGACTCCGATGTCCGAGATGGCCGAGCGCTTCCACTCCGGCAGCTCCGGTTCGAACCTGATCGAGTTGGCTTTCAGGACCCCCAGCGGAACGGTGATAATGACGGCATCGGCGACGAAGATCTCCCCGCCTTCAACAGTGAGCAGGACCTGGTTACAGCGCCGGACAATGCGTCTGACCCTGCAGATCGAGACGCCTCTCATTGAAATCGCGGAAATGGTTGAAAGAATTTGAACGATAATGGCTCCCTCCCCACGCATAAAAATAAATAAATAAAATTCCGATTGCGCCAACATGATCGAATGCCCCCTTAAACAGTCAACAGTAGCAAAAATTTCTCTTCTTTAAAACCCTTACCGTCTTGAGCATGTCACTGTGACGCATGGAAATGAATCTCATTGGAAGAAACATTCAAAATCCTTCAATTGTATGATTTCCAGGGAACATTTTAACAACTAATAGGCGTAGTTCTAGCCTTCCTCACAAAACCCACATAGGACGATGCCTGTTTTACTCAGCGGCGCGTGAAAAAAGAGGTCAAGTGCGTTCAAAATCAACTATGGACGAGGCAGAAATGGATGGTCTCTTAACTACGGAATGAGAGAAAGAGCATGGAACACTCTAGACAACTCTTAGATGGTGAGATCTTCGAAATGAAGATGGGGGGTTGAGCATACCTGCAGTTCAAGCGTATGTCAAGGTCCTTTGAGAGCGCTTGAATCAGCGGGTGGTATCCTTGGACCATGAGTCCGTGGCCACCAGAGAGGACAAGTTCCTGAGTTGCAAAAGATCGGGCGTCAGGCAATGACACCAAACGATAAAAGAAGCTTCCACGTTTCAATTTTTGCCCCTGAATGTGTAGTTCCCGGAGAAAGCCTCTTCATCAATTCTTGGCTACAACGAAACATGTACGATAGATATACTACGCATGATTCTTAAGGATAGACGCATTGATAAAGGAACTTCGTTTGTGTGATTCCTTGCCTGGTCCCAGTTTTTCAGAGAAATTGCGTCCGCATCTGCTGCAAACCATGCCTCCATTCTGCATATGTACCACTGCAATACTTCATATGCCAATCCTTCTTGTCTGTAACCATAAACGATGTCAGCTATATAACGTATAATCTCCATTCATATCTCAAAATAATACCAAGAGAAGTGTATTCATATAATCCTGCACCTTAAGTTTGGATGCCTCTCCAAGACAATTGACATGGCTTGGTGAATAGACATATCTTCATTACGTTCATTTCTAACGTTCTCTGTCTGATCCATTAAAAGAAAATCAACAAAATAGCACTAAAATAAATTGGAATAACTCCGCTGTTTGAGGAAACTTTTACGTACTTCTTTCAGAATCCTTTTGAACGTTTCACCGACTTCAACCACTAACTGTTGAGGAACTTGTAGTCCGTCCACATCAAAGAGTGCACAACTGCAGAAAAATGTTCAATGGGACAATTTTCATTAGGAAAAAATTGAAAGACCAAATGAACACGGGGGGAGACTAACAAAAAAGGCAATAAGAACATGGTATTGAATTATGAACTCTATTTGTCGTAAAATTAAATTTATCGGTTGCAAAGTGGCTTGTGTAAGTCTACAACTGTCATCTTGCCAATTCTATGTCCCGTGAAGATGATCAATGAATATAGGCTCATCAATGAATGTGGAGTTTGTGATTGATACCCACAGGGTTCTTTCAGATGAGAAAAACGTGTGCTGTGTTAACATAACCAGGAGACGCCGAATTCTGATGTAGGCGTTTATTGAAGGTTAAAGAGTTCCAGGAAGGGGTGAACTGGTGACGGCAGTAAAAGTTTCTCCACCATAAAACAGAACACCAGTCATTCTCTTGCTTGGACTTCAGGGCTTGCACGTATAATGGTCTAAAATTATGAATTATTCAGAAATGGATGAGTAACCAAACTGTTAATGGAAAATCTGACACAAAAGCAGAGCTAAAACTGGGCATAAGACATAAATCTGGGTTAGGACAGAAAATACCAGTCCAAATCATGATCGTACAATATAGAGTTGTCACCACTGGTGCGGTATAATCTGAGGCCCAGATAGCGAATCAGTGGAGCCAAGGAGTTTTCATTGCAAACACCATGAAGCCTGCAGTGAAGTGAGAAGAGATAAAAGCTGTTAGGCCCGCAGAAAGACGAAAAAGGGAAGTGATGATGTCAACATAAACTGCAAAGTGGAAAGAAAATGAACTTTCCATGATGCTCCCATGTCAACAGGACACCCAAAACTATAATCAGTATGGACGCGACCGCCAAGCCGATTCCGTGATTCCAACAGTATGACCTGAAATGAAAGAATAATAAAATAAATATTTACCACTTCGAAGAAAATGATTGAGGTCAAAGATACTGGAATAATACAACACATCTTATTTCCGAATGAAGGTTACTAATTTTGCACCAACTTAAGATTGATCATTCACCTTAAAAGCAGAATTTTGTAGAGCACGAGCAGCTGCTATTCCTGAAATCCCTCCCCCAATCACGATGACGGAAGGGAGAGTTTTCTGCCTCTCTATGTCGGAAATAAAAGTTCCTAGACAACGAAAATAGCAACATTTCACTCTACGATCAGCGAAACTGAAAGAAGAAAAAAAAATCCCAATAAAAACATAATTTTTATGCAACTTCTGATTTCTTCAAACATTGTCAATATCTACACAATAAGCATAAAATTTAGGATATTTCAGCACTTGTATCATCACCTACTCCATAATTTTCTCATTTGGTCCCTATTAATATGTACTCTCCAGGAGGATCCTCTTAATCTTTATAATTACAGACATGAGACAAAAAGATATACCGACCCTTATGAGTTTATCCAGATAATTTACATCGTACTAAAACCAAACCGAGACGTCAGTCTTCTCAGACTGCATTTTCAATCGCCACAGTTATTAATCACATAAACGATCCACACGCTTTTCACATTATTCAAATAATAAGGAATCTAAAATATATCAATCGAACTATAAGTGCTACGCTTTTCACTACGCCAGAAAGTCGTCTACTGACAGATGCTTGCATAATTTGATCTATCCAATCTTTTAGACCGTCTATGCTCCGGAAGATTTCTCCATCTTTATAACTCAGTGGTCAAGAAGCATACACACATCAGAAATAGCGCGCTAAAGCATTAATTGGTTCCGAAGATACCTTCTATGATAACAAATGACAGACAGGGACCGCTTGTTTTTCAATAAAATTCTCAATTTGCACAGTTATAAATAATTCATCTGATTAGTGCTTCAAAATTTCCTTAAGGAAGAAATCGGAGAGATATCAGACGAGTTATCTAGCTAGGCCACAAAAGACTATATGAAATAAGCATTCCGGCAGTGCTTCAAAATGAGGATACAGACATGACTAACTGGTGGAGGCGCATTCAGAAACGTGGGAAATTAAAGAAAAAAACTGAACATCTTAGAAAGGTCCAATGAGCTATGATGACTCGCAAATGCATCAATGCTGAATTCTCAACAACATGAGAAACAACATCAAGACGAACGATATTTCCTCTAATCATTGGGAACAAAAGTCAAGCTCAGACGGCAGCTTCGCCAATAAACATGCCATTGTTCCATTATAAAATATGTAAAATAAAACCAATAAAACACCCAGTGCCCAGCAGGCTACGCCGACTAGAAAATCATACGTAACAAGGTTGATTTCATAAATTATGTACGGTATTATTACCATCGATGTCCAAATTCTCGTATCCGCAGAGATTTTTCGACTCCATTGCCGCAAATTGTGACAATCGTCAAAACCGGACAATGCAACGCCAGCGGAAACAGTAGCAGGAGAGGGGGGGCTTAATATTCCAATGCGTCTTTAGAGAGGAAGTGACTGGTACGTATAGGAATCAGGGAGGAACGATAGAATAACATGAATATCATGAGTCCGTCGATGGAGCGGCTCACGTCCGAGAGGCAACGCAGCTTATCGAACCAGCTCATATCAGAGGATTCAAAACGGCAACACCAATGGAGTTGAAAGGCTGAGGATGGGTCAACGAGATCTAAGAACAGGGAAGGATCGGGAGCACGACGGACCAGGGGAATTTTGCCACACCTCGACGGTACATTTTGCGCTTTCCTCCGTCAGTTTATATAGCCGCGGCTACGGCGCGAAGAGAGGGGGAGGGGGGGTAGAGAGAGGGAACCACGCGTCTTTTCATCTGACGTAATTACCCCGGATTTCTCGCGCAGAAATCGATATCTCCGGGGTTACTTCGGTTAGGCAGGGGATATTTTCCCGCGTTCACGATAAAGCCACCACGCTCGGAATTCACATCAGAAAGCACGATGCCCCAACTCCTTCAGGCCGTCAAAAATATGTCAACGGACACTCTGGTCATTTAACCTTTCAAACATGGAGATCTCGCCGCCTAGTGGGGTGGGTGAAAGGCACGATCTCGGTGGCGACGACGGAAGACGATCCGTCGTCGCCACCGGGCAATCCACAGGTCCGCGTGGGGCCTAGCAGGCCCAATCCAACGAGCCGTTGGATCATTTCGACCATCCGACACGTGATCGTGTGAGCTGGGTGCCATGCAGTTTGGCCGCGGGAGGCTTACAAACGAAAAGCCGGAGGCGTCCTGTGAGCAACTTGTGGGATTTATTTATATTTATTAGGCTGCCAGCGATGTGGCTTGTTGGGGCACGGCACGGCCACGCCGTGCGGCCACAAGGATAAGCTGATGGGGCACGTCACGGCCACGCCGTGCGGCCAAAAGGATTAGCTGATGGGGCACGGCAGTTCTTTTTTTTTTTTTTGGTTGGTGGTACCTGCAGAAAACCAGAGCTCAAAAAAATATCCTTCTCCAAGAGGTGAGGAAGTAATTACACAGACGAAAAGAACTGCAAACCGAGAGAAAAAAGAAAGAAATATCTGATTTTCTGATGGCCCCCTCCGTGGTGGGGCTGGAACTCGAACGAACCCTGGTGCCGGATTCCAGACCGGCTCCCGCAGAAATCCTCCTCCCCTGCGGCCGGGAAGGGGGATGTCGGCGCGTTCAAGCGCATTCTTTGGATGAAGATAGGATGCCACCAGAGGCCACAGAGATGATGAATAGGGTCTTTAAACTGCTCGGTAGTCCTGGAAAAGGGCCAGCTTCTGCGCAAGAACCTCCCTGGTGCCATACAAGGGCTTACCCTCAGGAATCCAGTTCTTCTGCAGGACCGAAGCTTTCGCGTTTGCAACCATATCGTCTTCAAAGGCGGAAACTATCTGGTATATTCCCGTTCTTAGGATATCCGCCATGGCGAAAGCCCTGGCGTATACGACCCCACTTCTCCTTTTGCTGGAAACAGTGGCCGTCACATCTCTGGAGCCAGCCTGTACTGTAGTAGCCCATTTGATGCTCGCCGGCCCGATGAGATGAGAGGATGGAGGGCTGGGCTTCTTGCCCATGGAGAACTCTACGGCCAGCAGGCAAGACAACAGTGTCGATACTGCTGCAGAGTTGCAGCCAGTCAGTTGGGCGACTCCAAATCTATCTTCTTTGTGAGACCGCGCAGTAAGGGCGGCAATAGTCCTCACGCACCACGAGAACAGCTGCATGAGGGGCATTGGAATTCAAAGATGTTATAAAAATTATCACATTCGGGAACAATGTAAGATCGAAATGGTTGATGATTTTATGTTGCTCAAATGGTTCACAAAAAGTGGTAAATTTCCAGATGGTCATCATCGTTATCTGGAGTCTGAGCCCTCGAGGATGCCAATATGCATGCTATAATAGCTCAATAACGAGGTAGAATTTAAACGGTTGTCAAGAAATTGAGAGTAGTGTGTGTGTGTTGGGGGAGAGGAGGGGGTAGGGCGAATACAATGATGAAAAGACGTGTAGATGCTAATGCAGCATAGAAGACATGAAAAACAATTTATTTCACCGGACGTCTGTCGAAGGTAAGGCACGAAACGGTGCTGGAAGGGATGAGATATGTAAAAACATTCAATGAATCTCTCTCAAAAGCTCAAAATTATTCAAAGAAAAGTTTGTTTGGAATACCAGCAAGTGAACGGCAACTAAATATTCTGAGAAGACATGCTGCTTTTGGTGAGGGCTAAAATATCTTTCTGTATTTTTCAAAGTAAACCGAATGAAGTTTATATTCAAAGGAAAAATACAAGCAACCTCGAAGGAGTATAACATATAGCCATGTCAGCCGATTAAGCATGAACTACATCTCATTTGACCAAGGCTTTCAAACAGATTCGTTTCCCGTGATGTAATCTTTTGTCTTGCTGACAGAGTTCAGAGAATGCCCTAGATTCATATACTTATAATGTATGCAATCTGAAATTCAAGTCTGAAACATATGGGATCAGTTGCCAAATTGGACATTTCCATATTTGATACCTGACTCGTCATAAACAAAGCGAAAAATTGTGATGCTGACCCTACATAAATCTCAAACAAGAGCACCCACGAGCAAGAGCTAAACTGATCACAGGACTAATTTCTGAGAAATGAACTAAAAAGTAGGCATCTCTAACAAATCTGGCATGACCACATTAGTCAGTAAGTTGGGTCTCAAGACAACAGAATCTTAAATGATAACCATATGCTTACTTATAATCTGGAGAATAATGAAGGGAATTTGGAGATCCTTAGGCATTGATCTATCCACTAAAACTGGACCTGAATATTAATTATCAAATAAAAACTAAGAAGAATGTTCAACTATCTTCTGTCAAGAGCCATAGCTTTCCAAATATGATGGTGGCATCCTTTCCTCAACTTATCCATTAGTAATAACTCAATATCCCATCAAAACTATGCCAAAAAAAAACATCTAACTTTACAACAGAAGATGTACAGCACATCCGACCTGGTACCCTATCTCATTTCATCTACTTTATAGCTCATCAAGATTCACTTACCTGTAAAAGTGCAGCTAAGAGAGGACATCTAAATCAGTTTGATTACTGTGATCTTTGCAAGAGTAGCTTCATGCCAGCAGTTTCGAAGACCATTACTAGTATTTCCACTAATATAGCCAGAGGGTCTAGAATAAAAGAAATTTTCCTTTAGGTCATCACAGTTAAATAAAAATTGGAAAAGCTTATCTCAGCTATATCCGTAGAACATGGGAACACGATTCTGTACTAGATGTTTATAGATAAATGCTGGGCTAACTACAGTGTTGAAATAAAATATTCAACAACCTGTAGACGCGTAAAATGTACAGGAATAAAAAATAAAAACGAGAAAAAGGGAACACAATACTAGTCTAGAGCAGGATAGTACCTGAAGTTTGTCGAATGCTTCATGCGACCCCTGGTCTCTAGGAGAATCTAACGGTCCACGTAATTGTAAAGAAAATATTGATTTTTCCGAATATAAACCTTCAAAGGCTTCAGTAAGTCCCAATGTGAACTGCTCCAACGGTCTCAAACATAAAGATATGACTCTTCTATACGTTTCCCCAGATTCTTCAAATAAGGCAGCTCGACGCCATAGCTCAAAGTCACTCTCTGAAACTAAACAGAGATCAAGATATGCAAGATACTGAAAGAGTGATCCAGGGCTACTCTGTTCCAGTGCTTCCAAGAGAGCTTCACATGGATTTGATTCTGCAGAAGCTGATCCCGGAGCAGGTGCAAAAAGACACCTTCTTGTGTGGAGTACCTGTGATGATACCGTGAATTTTCAAAGAGAAGAAAGGAAGAGATAAAAAATGTACTTTCTTCCCATAAAAAAAATGAAAGGATGATTTAAACTCAGTTCGAATTGTTAAGCCCCCAGTTACCAAACAGAGCCATGCAACTACAAACGTAGTCCCTTTCAGAAGATGTTGCAATTTCACCACTAACAAGTGCATAAGTAGTTACAGCGGGCAAGAACACTCATAATTTACTTTGCATGGTAACTAACATGTCTCTGAATGATTGACAATTGCTCACACATAATAAGTCTTAAGCTAAAGCTAACATCCAAGGTGTATACTCTTCTCCATAATTTATTCTTTTGAACATGAAACACAAACTGAAGATTTCTGACGAGTCCTCCTATGTTAAACCATACGGAATTAAAGTCCAAAGAACCTACCTCAAGCAAATGGCGACTGATCTCCCAGCAGAAAGAAACAGTTGAAATGCCAAATAAAAACCGTATCTGCTGAATGACAAGCTGTCCAACCGTATTTCCGCCCTTAAAGTGGTCTGACCAGAATAGTGACAATAATGTAGAACAAATAAGAGCTGAGACGGATAGTTTCACCGCTTGCTTGAGGGCTGAAAATAGGCCGATCTTGAAGCTGAAAAATAGGGGACGCTGAAAGTAAAGACAATTAATGATGATTAACTTCCAAGAAAATATAAAACAGCAAATACAAGATCATTTTTTGACCCAAAGAACTCCGAAACTACAGTAAGATAAAGGCTAGGCATGGTGCCTGAAGAAAAAGAAACAAGAACAAACTAACTCCGTTCCCCTCAGACATTCTAAAACATCGGCAAAAGCAGGTTTTTCAGTTAAAAACGTTTCTTCTAAGTCAATTATCTAACTGGGACGTTTACCATCCACGTGAATACAAATTATGTCCGTACGAAAGCAGGCATATGGCATCTATAAAATCAGTCATACGAGACTTTGTACCTAAAATATCATCATATTGTATTAGAAAAAAAGTGAAAATGATGTTGTCACACGTAAGCAAACTGGGACAATTGAGAAATCTGGCTGATAAGAATTACGATTCATTCTATACAGAATCTGGGGGCATCAAAGTTCAATAATGAGAAAGAACCGTAGCTTCCATTTTTCTTATAAATAATTCACAATTCTGCTGAAACTACGTTCATATTCCCTTCCACCAGTTTATGATAAGCACCACAAATTCGAGGCTGACCTGCACGATTGGAAACTGTAAGGCCCATCGCTTCTTATAGACATAATAAGAACCATACACCAGTCCGAAAATCAATCCTCTCAATCCAACATAAACCAGCGCTGAACAGTAGAAACCCTCCAAATCGCCGCACACCGCAACCGCCGACAACAACCCTGACGCAGCGCAGATTACGACGAGCGCTAGAGATCTCATCGTCCTTCCCACCCGACGCCGAAATTCGGCGTGAAATGACGGCCCCTGGAATCCGCCCACCAGAGACTTGATAAACGACCTACTAAGGCCGCCCAAGAGCTCGGTGTGGGAGGCGGAGGGTTCGGGGTACGGCGAGGAAGTAAGAAAGAGGGAGAAGGAGAAGAGGAGAAGAGAGAGGTGGAAGATAAGGAAGGGGAGCAGGGAGGCGAGGAAGGAGGTCGAAGAGGACCCTAGAAAAGGAGAGACGAGAAGATAAACGGACGTGGCAGTGATGTGCTGCCATATCAGGAACCCTAACCAGCGATTCTTCACTACATCAGGAACAGAGGAAAAAGAGGGACGCATACTACTCACAACGACGATCGATTGGAAGAAGCAGGGGGAGGGGGCGGGGACGGACAGTGGAAGCGAAAGGGAACAGCCTGAGAGCTTTGAAGGGGGTTTTGTGCGAGGGAGAGAGAGAGATCGGGAGGGAGGCGGGAATTTCCTCATGAATCTTAGACGCCCTCCTCTATCTGGAAGAGTTACAAAATTATTTCCTTGTTTAATAATATTAACCCTAAAATATTTAGATATTATACACAGCCTCGAAGCAGGCAAAAAAGCATAGCTTCTTTCCAGGCTCTTCACGAAATACACTCCATCAATACAGTTTTCCCTAGAGGTTCGACACCCATTCATTCTATGTTGAAGGGTTTTTTTGAACTTTAGCTATCTTCATCCTTCACTCTCTGCCCAACCCTGTCATTACAAGGTCACAGTCGCACCTGGTAAGGACTGCTATGTCGTCCTCTCCAAGATTTGTACAGTGCGGCAGCTCACAAGAGAGAGAGAAAGAGCAGTCTCTGTCATCATGCCTAATACGTTTGTCCCACCACTGAGTCGGCGTATGATCAGCGGATCTCGATAAGATCAGAGGGTGTGCTCCTTCATTCGTCATCGTCTTGAAAAGGGCCTCTGTGATGCTTCGTCTTTGATCGGAACTGAAGGCCTGCTTTGGTCGCTGAAATACGATTCTTGTGGACGGAGCATCACCAGATCAGAGGAGCAACAGGTACGGAGAGGTCAAAAACGGTCCAAGAAGCTTGAGGACGAAACCAGGGAGACCAAATTGGAAATTTGATCGGGAAACGTCTGAAGATTTCCATACGATTGGAGTTCTCCCAATTTACTCTTTATTACTAAAATAAAGTACAAAACTTTAGCGGTAATGTCGACACAGACAGCACCCGAGTAGACACGACGACGGGGAGGATGAGGAAGAGAAGCTCACATCTCCATCAAAAAAATTATGAGCGGGCAGGAGTAGGAGGAAGAAGGAGAAGAATGAAGAGGAGCGGGGATCTTCAGGCCCCCGCGTCGCCGGTGCCGAAGAGCTTCACCCGAGAGAGAGGGGTCTGAAGGAATCCCTCCACATCGAACTTCCTGGGAGAGAGCATCTTGTACTTGGCGAACTTCTCCCTGGCCTCCTCGTTGCGATCAAGCAGGGAGTATATCACCCCCTGGCAGAAGTAGGGGCGGTAGTCACGGGGATCCTCTCTCGCCAGCTCCTCGTAGCTGGAGAGTGCCTCCTCCACCTTCTTCTGCAGATACTGCAACTGGGCCATGATCAGCCGCACCTCCCTCGCCTCCTTCTCCTTCTTCCCTTCCCTAGCCGTCTCCAGCGCGCTCTCCAGGCGCGCCATCGCCGCCTCCCCCTCACCGCTCCTGTCCATCAGGACGACGTTCTCGAACAGGGCTTCGAAGGATAGCGGGTCCGCCGCTAAGATCTCCTCCAGCAGCCGCCGTGCTTCGCCGGTCTCCCCCAGCTCGCTGTAGACCCTTACCGCCAAGAATCTCCACTCTGTTTCCGATGGCCGAGCTGCTATCAGCTGATCGAGGATGCGCAGGGCCTCGGGGAACTCGCCGTTGTCCAGCTTCTCGTAGAGCAGCGTCCTCAGGGTCTCCACAGCTTCTGCGTTGGACTCGAGGAACTGGGAGAGAGCGGATGGGGCATGGTCGCCATCTCCTTCCTTGCTTGTCCCTTCAGTCATCGGGGGAGAGGAAAGGGCCTCAGCCCTAGCTGGGGACGCGGCCAACTTTCCGGCGGACAAGGCCGCCGCCGCCGCCGCCGCCGCGGCGGTGAGAACCAGAGCGCCGGCGACCGACCTGATCCGCCGCACCAGACGGTCCGCGTCGGAGTTGGTGTGGCTGCTTGCGGAGGCGGAAACGGTTACGACCCCCGAAGCCCTCTCTCTGGGCCTGCGGAATTCTGAGAGACGGACATCTCCCGGAAGCAGGGTGATGGGCTTCGAAAAGCGGAGAGCTCCGAGGGACATTCCAGTGTTTGGTGGGAGGGTGATGGGTGAGGAACGTATCCTCTGGCCTGGGAGAAGGGCACCCATCGACAGTTGCATCTTGCCGGCGGAGGGAGCAGTCTGATGTCCTACTAGGGTTTCCTTTCCCGAACTCTAGCAAGAGAGAGAGAGAGAGAGAGAGAGAGAGAGAGAGTTTACCGTGGTCCATCTACGTGGAGAGGGCCGGCCCGCTCAATTTCCAGGTATAGAATCTTAACTAGAGGGAACCGGCCGCAGCTGCTCCGGAGTTGGGGCTGGAAGGGAGAAATGGCGCTCATCCTCTCCCCGCCATTATCCTCTGCTGGTTCGATCCCTGCCCGTTCCATGCTCTTTAGCAAGGCAGCATCCTCCTGTCCAGCTTCCCACCTCGCCAGTTCCAGGTCCGCAGGGAGCTTCTCCTCACCCCTATTCTCAGCAGAGACTCCGTTTCGCAGCCGGTGGACGATAAACCCGCCGGTTGTCGGTCCTCCACCGCGGCCGTCGTGGAATTGGGGCGAAGCCCGCAATTCTTCGTCACCTTCGGTTGCAGGCGCCGCCAGTGCGAGCTACTTCAGCCCTGCGAGCGACCTGGAACTGGATTTTGAGGAAGACGAAGGGTCTCCGTGGGAAGGGGCGGTGGTGTACAGGAGGGACCCCTCGGTGACTCACCTGGAGTACTGCACAACCCTGGAGAGGCTCGGCCTGGGGAAGCTCTCCAGCGAGCTCTCCGTGTCGAGGGCCTCCGCCATGGGGATCCGGGTCACCTCCTCCGGGAGGGTTAGAGCACTTGGGGACCCCTCCTTGTCGGGGACGCCCGTTCTCATCTCCATCGACGTCACCAGGAAGAAGCGGAAGCTTAAGCTCGACGGGATTCTGCGGACCGTCATCATCCTTGGCTGTAACAGGTCAGGAGAAATAGCACAGCAGATGTTTGCTCGAATGATCCACAGAAACACTTCACCTCCGATCGTGAGGTTCCGCCCATTTGTTGATCCTTTGGGAGTTGCAGGTGCGGCGGACCAGCTGCCGAGAACGTATTCTCCAACTTCGCCCTCCTGCTCACGGAAGATCCCATCGCGGAACCGGAGGAGTTCGACCTGGGGACGATCTACGGAACAGAGAAGTACAGGGGCTTCTCCATGGGCGGCGAAGACGAAGACGAAGACGAGGAATCGATAGACTTGGACGATCGGCTCTACTTCCCCTCCGACGAGAAGGCGATCGACATCTCCAAGAACATCCGAGACATCGTGCACCTCGAGATCACGATCAACGCGGTGTGCGATCCCAGCTGCAAGGGGTTGTGCCTCAAGTGCGGGACGAATCTGAACAAGAGCACATGCAGATGTGCCGCGGCGGACGCGGAGCAGCTCAAGGATCTCGGTCCTCTAGGATCCCTGAAGCAGCAGATGCACAGGAGGTGAAGAGCAGGGCGTCATTTTGGACACTGCGGATCTCGAGTGCATAGTTTTCCAATCACGCGAGGTTTTCATATCAGTTGATCCATACATACCATGTTAGAAGCAGTAGTTTGCTTTTGCTTGTTCTGGATGGGGAGAATCAAATATAATCTGAGATCTGTTCAAAAAAATTCTCAAACATGAAGCTCAAAATTTCTCTATGCGTACGTTTGATTCATCTCTGTCAATCAACCAACCATACAGCCTCTCAATCTCTCTCGCTGTGTCTGTTTATACTTGTATGGTTCTCCCTCTCTCTCTCTCTCTCTCTCTACAAGACCTCTTCGAGCTGCTGGTGACCTCCAGAAAGAAGCATTCATTCCAAGGTCTCCAAGAGATCAAGGACGTTGCGGCGGCGGCCGTACCGCAAGCGGTTCCGATGGTGGCCATCGGCTGTTGCCAAGGATCGTCCGCCGCCGCTCGGCGACCCTTCGGCCGTAGTAGGCGTGATGCGGATCATCGGCGGACAGGAAGCCCCACCGCTCCTGGTTCCTCGTGAGCCTGAGCAACTTGAGGAGGATCTCCTCCACCTGGAAGTCTTCCTCCTCCGCCACGAATCTGGCCACCTTGTCGATGTGCTCCCGATTGCTCACCGGCGGCAGGACTTGCGACGGCGAGTGCTCGTGCGGCAGCGGCGGCCTCTCGTGTCTGTAGCCGCGCCTGGTCCTCCGCTCCGCCACGCCGGCGCCGCCTTGTTTCTCCTCCTCTAGCACCTCCGCAGCGGCCGCGCGCTCCGTCATCTTCCTCCCGCTTCCGCCCCACCCTTCCCGATCCCTAGTCGTGAGGAGCCCTCCACCAAGCAAGGGCGGCTATATAGCCCCCCCCCCCTTAATGGACGAGAAGAACGCGCCGATCCGCTCCTTTAAAGTGGGAAGCGGATATGGGAGAAACGCAGGCCCGCTGCGTATCCCCCGCTTCCTCACCGCCTCTGCATCAACAAAACCCCAAATCGCCAGCCAAAACCTACTGAGGCCGCTTAATCCCTCCTGTATTCAGTCACCCATCCCCGATTCTTGGAGGATGCAACGAGGAACGATCCCCAATTTCGACTGGTTGGATATCCAGCTGCTCCCTGATACCGTGGATGAAGCCATGGAAGGAGGTGATCGAGCACAAAAACCTAAGGGTACCAAGAATTATTACACAATGAGGGGTCTCTATTTCCGACCAGTCGCTTCCATCTTGTCCAGTCGCTAGGGATGGAAGAAGAGGCTGGTCATCGCCATACCTTGCAATCCATGGAGGCAGTGACCAGAGGAGGGTACTTGCAGGGTTACCGAGTCCTCTCAGGTGAACATGATGCCGATCTTCCGTGCAAAGTCGTCGCCGTCTTCGTCATCCGCCTCGTCATCATCGTCGTCGTCTTCGGACCTGTAGTCGGCGGCTCCGGCTGCATCGTATCCAAACTCCTCTCCGGCCCTCTGCTCTGCGTCTTCCATGTCGTCTACCAGGACACCGTCTTCTGCTTCAGGCATCTCCTCTCTGGGTGACGACTGGTCCGGTTGCGGCAACTCTTCGCTGCCCTCATCATACTCGAATTCCCCGTTCCTCTGGCCGTAATCTTCCATCTCTGGATCTATCTCGCCGTCTTCCTTCATCCCGTCTTCTCTATCAGTCGCCTCCATCTTCGGTGAAGATCGATCTTCCTGTGGCAGCTCTTCACCATCTGTTATGATCGGGTTCTCTCTCGCTTCCTCCAGTGTTGGTCCAGGCGCCTCAGCCGCTTTCGTCACCATGGGACGACCCGGGGGGTCTTCTCTGACCTTGAAGTTGACCTCATCTCCATGGCTGGAAGCAGCATCACTCCCCCTTGCTACTTCCCGCTTTCTCTTTAGAATCTCGCTAAGCGGCTTTGGCCCCTCAAACGAGGGAGAACCTTCTGATTCGTTGAGGGCCAAAGCCCTGTTTAATCTCGCGCCCTTCCGCTCCTGGGCGACTGCACTGCCGTCGAACCTGATCGATCCGTCGGAGAACTTGGCGCCCCTGAGGTCTGTAAGGCTTCGAGGAGCGGAGAAGTTCAGCGAATCCGCTCCATCTCTTCTCCTTGGCTGCCCCTCCAGGGCCCTCTTCTTCGCAGAGTCCTCCTCCTGATTCCTCTGCGTCATCCTGTCCAACCGCTGACCCGGGGATGACGATCTACCCCAGCTCCTTCCTCTGTCTTCATCTCTCTCAGAATCCATATTGCGAGGTTTCTCCGAGGAGGATCTTCCAGGAAGGGATATTCTACCTCGTAGACGACTGCTTATGGAGCTTCCACGAGGAAAACCTTTGTCATCGCCACCGGACCTGCGACTCCGGTGCCTCTCCTCGTCATCCTCCCGACGAGCATCACCGTGGCGATCGGTGCTGATAGATGACCGCAACCCGTAGCCTTTCCTCTTCTTCAGAAGCCGGTGGCGCAGATCCGACCCATCGATCTCACCGGAGCCGCCCTCCCTCTTCAGCCCCTTCTCGTCGTCTCTATTGCTTCTCTCTCCTTCAGACCTTGGCCTCGAATTGTGACCAGTTGATGGGAGGTAGTCCAAGTCCTCCCCTCCAATGGCTTCCTTTCCCTCGTGACCTGAAGCGCCGCCGCCGTCCACCAGAACATCAAACCCTGGAGACGACTCCCTCAATGGTTCGTCAGCCTCCCTGCTCTTCTGAACAGACCCATTCAAAGGCTTCGGCTGATGAGCCCTCGTTGGGGCATTCGAAGGTCTCCAAGCTCCATTACCGTGTGGGAATCTCTGAAGCAGCCCACTTCTCGATGAAGCTTCGGCCTTGATATCAGCCTTGCCCTGGGGTCGGGGGCCTTCCGCCGCCTTCTCGGCACTCGCTCTGGGCTTGCTCTGCATGGGCTTCAACGGGTTTGGTGCTTCTACGGCGGGCGAAGAAACAACCTTCCCTGTTGGCTGCGGCAGATTAGGATTGTCGATAGGCTGCAGACCATGGAAGAAAAGGCACCTGTCGCCTTTCAAGCAACTCCCTTTCTGGAAGTAATAGCAAGGGGTCCTCTGCTTGCTTGAGGTATTAGCGGCGACAGAATGAACTACTGGGACTTGGTCTGGCACGGGCATTTGACTTGGAGTAGATCCCGAGAGAGTTGACATGGGGGACCCAACCAAGCCTTCAAGCGGCTGCAAACAGGAGACGGCGTTGACTATAACTAAAAAAATGGAATAAAAATGCCTACACTCGCATAATAGTTTCAAAAACTTTGACGACGAAAATTGATGTATTTTTGTCAACATGCGTGCATTCAAGGTTACAGGTAGAAGTAAGAAGACTCACTGGATGTCTGAATAGGCACTTTGGGTTTAAGCAGTTGCCATTTAACCAATACCAGCAATCCCGAGGGTTGACTCTGGCACCTTCACGGTGACGAAACTCACATTCATTTCCCTGAAAAATAAAGTAAATAACATTGAATCTCTCAGCTTTGAACCAAAGGGAATCCAGCAGTCGATCAGTAGAAAATATAACGAAAATTAGGCACCTCCACAAAAACCGAAGATAATTAAGCTTGATTTCATCTTCAGTAAAATAGACAATATAATTTGAATTGACAGCTAGGGCTCTTCTGAAACGGGACAAAAGAAAAATAATGGGCAGCATTCATAAGGGTGGTTTGATAAAGTTCTACTTAGAACACTTGATCATTTCCCCTTGATGCCACGCACTGTAAACCACATTTAAATGCTAAAGAAAAACTGATCGTTTATCTCTGAGCCCTCCTCGCAAGCTTGGCTGTACTCACTGGGTTCATCAAAATCTACTCCCCACAGCCTCCTAACTTCCTCTCGGCAATGCTGGTATACCCAGTAGTTCAGGCTACCTAATCAACGCCGGAGTTACAACTACAGTATGCGAAGAGTAACGATTGTCACGGCTGGGGAACAACAACTGCGCCGGCTGATAAAGTGAGGGGTCGTGGAAGGAGCCACAGCTGTTATCTGACTGGTAATCCGATGTCTACAAGAAGGATGACGATGAAAAGTCAGAAGATGATCCCATTGCAAGGAAGAGGGTGCCAGTAGCACCGCATTGTGTGGGTCAACCCAACATCAGTAGGAACAACGCAGACATCATCTCAGCCTGCTCACAGTGGGTCGGCTTTGGGCCATGCTCTCCCCAACCCCCACTCAGATCAGGCTAGATCGGCGCTTAAAACCACCAAACCAAACAAAACTTAAGATGTTTCCGAGAATCGAACATATATCAATAATACGTATGAAGATTAGATGATGTTTATAACTTGGGATTGTGTTCGATGAGGTTTGTTTACAATGCGGTAGCTTGAACCAGGTAAACCAAGAGTTTAGATGGGTTATTTTCAGGTTGAATCCAGGTTAATTATATCCCTGCATCAATTACTTACGGCTTTTCCATTGATCTCTCTAAGATATGAGTAGGGTTTTTATCAAAATATCCTAATTTCTAAAATCCAGATTAACTTCACTTAATGGAGAGAAAAGATGCACCTGAATTATCAGAAGAGTAAAATTAGGAGGTAAACCTACGAAAAATATTACCAATCCTCGAGAATCCATCTCATTACACTCCTTTTCTACGATCAAGATGTATCTCCTTGCTCTTATCATTCACTCGAATGGCGATGCTTACTTTCAGGCAGATGAGAACTAAGCGTACAGTGAGAATGAGAATCTATGGAAATTCTAAAATGATTAGTCAAATTATTAAATATTTTAACATAAGATATGATTTCGGTTCACACACACTCTATGACAATACTCCGTCTGTGATCGATAGAAGCAAGAACGGTACATTAAATATGAACACCAGAGACGCTCACCCCTCTGATCTAAGCTCAAACCAAGAGACTGGAAAAATCTGGATCACCATACAAATCTACGTTTTTCCCTCCTGATGATCCGTGCCCCCTCCACCGGGGGGCAATTTTCAGCCAAATTCTTTCTTAATTATAAATCAAATGCTTCATCAAATAGAGGAGCACTGGTCTTAGCAGCTGAACCCAGACAATTGGAATCCATAGTTAAGGAAGGCGGATTCCAATTCGAGCTTATTCTCGAACCCTATCCCAGTCGAACAAACTAACAACGGAAAAAAGGGGGCGATCCGATCAGATTGAGACGGATTAACAGTCGTGAGCCGACGCCAAACGTCGAAGATCCTCCAAATAACATCGACGAAGTGTAAGAGAGACATATTTTTCAAAGATGTAAAAATAAAACGAACGGCCAAAGTCAGGAAGGTACAAAAAACAGGCGTAGGAGGGGGGGGGAAAGAGGAAGCACCTTTTTGCAGGTCAGAGGAGAAGCCAAGAAGTAGATGCAGTCGGTATTCTTCTTCACCGCCTCCTCGCCAGCCGTGCGGCTCGGGTCTTCCATGGTCATCTGCCCAATCCGCCGAAAGGCTCCGCCAAACCGAGCTGACGGAGGGAGAGGGAGAGGATGCTAGCCAATTTCAACGTCTGGCGGATAAGATAGATCGAGGGTCTAGATCAGCTGTGGCTTCGCAGAAGAGGGAGGGAGGGAGAGAGAAAGAGAGAGGGGGGGGCCTTTACTCTGACCAGGGACTATTAGTCCTGGGGTTTTCTCTCTACTTTTCGATGGAGATCATGGGAATTAAAGCAAAACCTATCTTAGCTGGGGGCGGGCAGAGAAAGATTAATGCAAAACCTAGCTTCCGTCATCTGCGGCTCCCCCTTCAGTGGCATATTCCGTAATTATCTTCGGCCCAACGGGGGAATGTGCAGCCCAAATCAGGCATTTTTAACCAAGGTACGCGTACTCGGTCTGCGAACACCATGCCCACTCTCTCTATCTCTCTCTCTCTCCCATGTGGTTTTTATTTATCGAAAAAGAAAAACCCAACAAAATCCCCAATCAACACCACGACTTCGCGAACAGAGACAGAAAATACCCGGATAAAAAGTGGTAAATATTCGTGAAAAATCCCCCAAAATTGATGGCCCGGGACCGATTTAATGCGAAATGCCACGAATCTGGTGCTAATTGGTGAAAAAGGTGCCATCGTGTCCAGGGTAGAGGTCAGGTAATCGTGAGCGTTTGATGAACTCGCCGACTGCTTCTTCCCTAGGCAGGCAAATAGGGCGCCTCCACCATCCGGAGGTCATTAAGATACCTGATTGATTCTTACTGAAAATAATCAAACATCGGGTCCAAGTCCCCAAACCATAAGTCAACGCCGGTTATGCAGACAGGAACGTAGTTGAACAAGCCAAACATGAGTTGAACGTAGTCACAAACGGAAAACTTAAGCTGTTTAGTCAAACTGCTGCAACCAAGTTGCCGTAGAGTAGGGGGAATGCACTTGCCGACGATGTTCTTCCTGGTACGCAGGAACCGGCCGACACTGGAAGGAAAGCTGATTTTAGTATCATTCTAGAAACATCGAGAAAGAGAAGAAGAAGTCAGCGGTGAACAGACGCTTGTTTCCAACGAAAATAAATGATCCAGTTAAAAAAAAAAAGAGGGCTACGAAGATTTTTCATGACTAAATGACCCGTCAAATTTAGAAAAATATTGTAACGAAAATTGCCGAGCAGATTATATTAATATGGACAAATAGAAGCTATGTGCAGCAATCTAAACACTAAAGGAGGATACGATTGTAAATCTAAAACACTTTTAGTTGGCGTATAAAGGAACGAGGAAGCCACTCTTGCATGATAAATGCAGAAATATATCAACTTTAATAAAAATAAAGCTCCGCTGGAGAGATTATGTAGTAACACTGAGCCTATCATCCTTCTGAAACTGTAATTCTGCATACAAATCATACCGTTTCACGAAGATGCAGGTCTGGAGGAAGCCAGGACTCGGACTACTTCCCCATCTTCTGAACATCCTCGGATGAAAGTATCTTGATGTACCAGACATTATTCACAAATGCACTGCATCGAGGTTAGAATGTCAGGCAGGAGGTGGGAGAAAGCGGCTAGGAAATCTGGTTCACAGATACTGAGTGACTCGAAACGACCAAAAGTAACAATGGTTACAGCATCACAATGGTTGCTATGACACACTAATGAGGTTCAGAGCCTTACAGGATAGCGTGGATTGACAGTAGAGAACAGTAAATGTGTCGAAAATAGAAAATAACCATGTTTGAATTCGTATATCACAGAAGCCAATATGCATGAACTATCTCCATATAAAGAAAATTCTAATGAATGTGGTCCTTACTCCCAGGGGTCGTCTCCAAGGAGAAGCACGTCATTCTCCCTGTCGACAAATACAAGCTGCCAGCCTGATCTTAGAGGGTCTTCCAACTGACCCTCGATACCAAACATCTGACCCAGTTCTTCCCTCAGCTCGCTGTAGTTTCTGAACTGGGTGATGTCCAGTAGTCTCCCAACCGATCCTGACTTGCAAACCTACGAAATTAAGAGCAGCCATTTTAGTCAAATACCAATGGGATTGAATAACTCAGGGCCACACTTCTCTCACCTTAATGAAGGTTCTTCTTGGAGGATCAGCTTCTCCTGCATTCTGGAGTACACTGGAAAACTCGTCTACGCCATATAAGGAATTTTGGAAGCATGATGCAGCACATGGCATATTGGAAGCTTCAGCAGAAGAATTGGCTACACTGGGCACCAAGTTGGAGAGGAGAGGGGAAGAATCTATATTAACACCAAAAAGGGTGTGATTCTGTGAGTCAACATTACAATTCTCTTGCTCCAACGGGCCATCTTTCCCGGGAAATGGAGGAAGAGACGCTCCATGGCCAAAACCAGCGGTCTCAGGAGCTGCGAACTTCTGCTCCCACGTCTGCTTGTCCACCTCGTTTAAAATTGGCTGAGTGAATTTATCGAAGTTCACCTGATTGAAACGTCCATCATGGACCATGGAGCCCAACATAGACTGCACGCATGATGGGAAATCTGTGCCTGATATAGGAAAGACTGGTTTTTGGCCCAGGGAAGCAAACTGTGGGTGAGACTGCTGAACTTGATTGCCAGGAATCACGAATTCCTCGACATATGTTTGCGGCTGTTGGCTATTCTGCCGAATTATAGATTGATGAAACTGGTCTGGAAGGCTCTGTTGTGGATGATCAGATAAACTAGGCGGCAGAATATTGAGTGCATGTTGTGAGCGTATTTGCTGAGCAATCTGCTGCTGCAATGATGCGTTCGTCCTGAATGGCTGTTGGAAAGCCTGGAGAGGTTGCTGAAAGCGAAAAAGCTGTTGCTTCAGGAGTTCTGCACTTCTTACGTCTTGCAAGGCTGCAGCAGCCATTACCTGGTATTGATCAGGGTCATTGGTCAGCTGTACGGGCTCAAACCTCTGCTGAACACAAGGGCCCCTTCCAACTTGAAGAAAATTCTGGGGTTGAATGCTGTGTTCTCCCAGATATCCCCTCGGCCACACGAACGTGTAGCCTTCGTCACCACTATTATCTGAAATCATGAATTCATACATAAAGAAAAATGCGACTCCGCCACCTGATGGGTGGTCATCTTAAATGTGAAGGTGATCACTATGTGCGCATGAGTGGTTTACTTGTTTTTACAGTAGAATTTGATGAATTGCAGATAAACATGTTTTATTAGACGTGAAATGCTTTATGTCCAATGAGCTTCATAACCTGGTATCATGAATGCAAATGTATTACTCAACAAACAACGTTATGCAAACTATGTAACCCTGAATGTCTGCAGAGATAATGTAAATCCTGGACACCATAGCATCTATCTGATTACAGATAGAAATTCATTGAGGAGCCGTGCTCAATCCTATACACCGTTTGAATGGCTGTTGAGATAATGTCCGAGTCGGTATGAAGGGACAACAGTCAACGTAAAACCCTAATGCCAGGGCCGTTTATGTTACACATAATAATGGGATAAAATAATAAATTGGAGACATAAAAATTCACAATAGAGATATGTACCAGGAACAGGGGGTATTCCCTGATGCCAGGGCCGTTTCAGCCTCAGAGGGAAGAGTGATGGGTACATAGGAAAGGTAGTTAATGGTTCAATCTCCCACAATGAAACTCTAGGCTGCTTCTCGCCAGCAGTTGATTCGTCCCAACCAACCTGAGATATTCATAAAGCCTATGAGAATCATAGTCTGTAAAACAATGGAAATTATGACAAATCAAAGCCTCTGTAAAACAAAAGGCACCGCAGTGGGGACACTTGAAACATATTCGAAAGAAAGCAGAATTTCAGACAACTCGAAATAATAATAGACAGTCGTCAATTTTTTAAGGACAAATTTGGGGACGAACTTTGCATTAAACATGTTTTAGGAGCAAAAACCGCTGTATGTTTTAGGAATATCTCTCAAACTAAACGAACCTTTATGAGAATTATTATTTTTCAAACCACAGGAGGTACGTTGCGCAATTAAATTCACAGTCAATCAAATTGACGACAGATGGATTTAGAAATGCATTAAAAAAACACATATTTAGAACAAAAGAGTTCAAAATGAGAATGATTATCTCAGATTTAAATCCTCACAAAATCAAAACAATGCTACATAGGATTAGTCCTAGAAAGAAATGAATGGGCTACATGTGTGCACGTTTATGTCATTGTTTATTTACCAGAATTGAAATTCAGTAGAGAAGTCAAATACTCTTCTGGATCCACGAGTCAGAAGTTTACGAAATAAAATCATGTCCTCACGCAGGTTGTCATAATCCCCATACCTTTACTGATCTCCAATGAGAATTCGGCCAGTGCACGGGATCGAAATCACATATATCTGTTACAGTACCCATATACCTGGTTCATATACAGCATCAAAATAAGTATACGAGAAATAAATATAATTGGACATCATAATTAACTTTCCCACAGAAAATAATATCTCATCCCTTGCACCCTGGACACGGAAAGGGCATTTATTCTACATAATCTACTGACCTCAAAACAAGTAAAATCAAATTTCAAGGTTATGCTCACGAAAACTACAATCTCAGGGCAAGGGATATTAAAAGGATTCTTTATTCCTGCTTTCAAATGTTAATGATCCTTGCAACAACCTAACGGTACCCAATTACCAAACAATCAGCTATTGCCGTAATATGGCTGATTTCGGGTCGTTCCACCCAAAATCAGCCAATTCCAGGCTCATACAGCAACTAAACTGGCTGATCAGGACGAACTTTGAGAATCATTGGAATACTTGCCACACCCCAACACAAAAACAAGGCACTGCCCGTTATGATCCAGATAATTGCCCGATTCTAAGTACTGAGTGCACTAATGTCTCTCATAAAATTACTTCTAAACATCCAGGATAGGCTATAAACATATTTCTGCAAAAAGCACAAAACAATGAAAGAAATGATTGAACGAAGATTATGAATGCTACCTTACCTTCTGACACTACATTCCTCCGTTTCAAAAAGCATGCGAAAGCGCATACCAACTGATACACGGGTGTGAAACACAGCCTTAGCATACTTTGAAAGAGGTACCACAAATTCGGATGGACTTGCCCTGTCAAATGCAGTAAATAAAAAGCATCCATAATTTGAAGAAAGATTCGTGTCATCATAGCAGAAGAAGTTCAAAAAATTTAACCTTGGGTTATAAAAGATGGTGAAACGGCTATTCGTCGCTGCAGCATGAGCAGCTGCAGCAAGAAGTCCTATGTGCATGCTGTCACTTGATAGAACAGATGAAGGTGTCATGGTCTGTAGCCTATTGGCACGTCTTATGCCTAGGAGTAACTGACCTTTTTCGTTCCTGAAGATGAGCGAAAAAGCCTTATTCAATTCATAATTTATCTAGAAACAGTCTTGATTCTAACATAAGCTCGCAAAAAGGAAAAAAGTACTTGCTAAAGAGGACTTGGAGTCCAACGTAAAGAATCAACATCGAAAGGATTTGGACAACAGACATAGAAACCCCAGCAAAGCCAACATAGGCATACCAGATAAACAGCACAGAATCCCCAGCAACCAGTCTCTTGGCACTGACAAACACACTCCACCCTGTGGTAAGAAGATGCCTTTTGGGTTGACCTACAGGAAATTAACGTATTAGCATTTGCATGCACAATATCAGATTTGACACAGAGATCCTTTGCGCAACTCAGCTCTGTACGGTTCAAAAACCATGCCCTTGTGGAGAGCCGTGAACTCTTTGTATGATATGTTTTCCCGTCTGCCATATATAAATGCCTATGCAAATCACTTTGGCATGGATATGATATCAATCGATCACAGCATAGACTTCCTAACCATCAATCACAATTGGATCACATAAACTTATCTCATGACCATGGATACTCTCTCAAAGAAAAAATAGTCAAATCTCTGAAGCATGCTTCCACTATAAGCTTCAATCGAATCCAATTAGGTTTCTTCTCAACAACATGAGTCTAAATGTGTTGTGATCATATCTCATTTCTATTAATAATATCCTAGAGAATCAGTTTCAACCAGTAAGTCAGACAAAGCTCTATAAGACAAGGAATTTGAATGACAATGAGGATAGCCCAGAAGAAACTTTCTTTAGAAATATTTTGCAAATTTGAAGTGCCCAAGATTTCATGGATCTCGATTTTACCGTCCAAAGAGAAATCCCTTCTGCACCACGAAGGCACTTATGATCAGGTAAAAAGTTTGAAAAGATAAAAAATACTGCACGCTGTAGGGTAGTGAAATAGTTGGAAGCATTATACGATTATTTTTCAAGGATAAAAAGTCTAAAACCGACAGACAATTTACGCCCAATAATTCCAGATATTGCTCGCGTCCCCTGTCTCACCGTTGCTGTCTAACAAACTCTTTCTGGTCTTAAGTGATAACTACGTAGGTTAAACTTCGCACTTTTTAGTTAATTTATCTAGAAGGCAAACTATCTGAAAATTATTATCTTAATTTGTCTTCAAAAGCCACAGATGGAAATCATAAATTGAAACAAATGTCGTGTTTCCTATGAGTTCATGCAAAGCATTCTTTACCAGACACCGTAGAGAACCCTAGTTCTGGTTGATTTTCTGATGAATAGTCCGTGAGCTTATATGGTGACTACAAAAGAACTGATAAATTTAATGATATGAGAAACCGGCAGTCAACATACCACGAAAAATATGCCTAAATTTCCATTCAACGTCGTGGAGGTCTCTAGCAACGAGCTCCTGAGCGGGTGGGTGCTGACTGTAGTCCTAAATCAAGATGCAAGCAACAATATCCAATGAAAGGTACGAAAAATATCACATGAGGACATACGACTTGCCAGAAAAGAAATCCAGACCTCGAAATTGATGTTTCAATAACAAGTAAACAATGAGAAACAACACACCAGGGGTGGAAAGACTTTCTCGGCTGCACGACGCGGGACAGAAAATCCTCCGTGAGTACTCGTGTCACTAGCTGTCAAAGTCTTACAGAAATAATTCGTCGGCTGCTTGCTCTGAAGCACAATTTCAGCCGGAAGGTAGATATCTTTTTGCTCTTGCTGCACGTGTCAGCGATTTTACTCAACCCAAGGTACCACAAAATATTATCAAGAAGTTTGCATTAGCAAAGACTTTCAACTTTACCGAGCTCAGAGGCTGCAAGGTCATTTGCGCGTACACTTCATCGGTCTCCACATCTGCCTGAAAGCACTCGAGCAGTCAGCTTCAAAGATCTTTCAAAAAAAAAAGCTAAACAATGGTCCATCTTACTCACATGCATCGTGGCATCGTGAAGTTGGCAGATCAGTTGGGGAGACAGGTTCGGATAATTAGGAAGACGTCCTTCAACCTCCTTGTTAGTAGACACAGACACCTTGATTTAAATACACCCATATATATTAACAAGAGCAACCGAGTCTCGATCCACAGGGAGCGGATAAAAAGAAGAAGAAGAAGAAGAAGAAGAAAGAACTATGATTTCAGGTAAAAGGCTTGCCTGCTCACTGTGACCCTGAGGGAAGTACACGACGCGGGTGCCGACCGTTGGCAAGGACACGAGAGGGCCGGCACAGGCGTGCCAGAGCTCTGAATTCAAGCATCTCTTCTCCCCACCTGTCACGGGTTATAATCATAAATCTCATCGTTAGTATCCCCACTCGCAGTTGTCTCGAGGGACGCACTATGCGCACAATAGGCCTGTATCCACATAAATGGATAGGGAAAGAAATCTAACAGCAGCTACTGAACTTCTAAAGACGAAGAAGAAGTGCGGGTACCTTCCAGCGTTCGCTGGCCCAAATCCAGAGTAGCAAGCTTCATATCTTGGATTCAACTTTGGCAGAGATCATGTATTAAGGTCGTCTTCCTCCCCACATAACCGCTCGGACAGAACGATCACAGTCTGCTTCACCATCGAAAAGTATAATCCGTCCTCTCCGAGCCTTTCTCCTGTCCTCTACAACAGACCTGCGCGCCTCGCTTCACGATCCAGACACTGCATTAAACGAGCCGAAGTAACTGAAGCACGAGGCCCTGGCCTTAATTGATCCTAAAGGTTTTGCTTCCCACTTAATAACGCTTCTCCTCTACACCGAGAACGTGGATCGTCCAAGACACAACGCAATGCAACACCCCCGCCGCTACTACGCAGTACAGGAGGCTTGTCATGCCCGCCTCCCTGAGCTGACCAAAGACTCCATCAACGGAGATGCCGGACAAGGAGCCCAAGCTCCACCGCTCCCAGCTCCGCCATCCACGACCAGCAACCACTCGTCAGCATCAGAGAAGGCAGCTCCGTACCAGCGACTTTCCCTTTCTCCCTCCTCTCATCATCTGAGAATCCACGATATTTCCTCGAGCCTCGCGAGGTGAAAAAGGCCACCCCCCCTCCCTGCAGCCTTGGTGAAGCCCTTCCCCGAGCTCTCCCACCAAGAGCGTGTCTGCTCGCCGATGAAGTGGAGAGATGGAGACAGAAACGCAGAGCGAGAGCGAGAGAGAGAGAGAGAGAGAGAGAATTAATGTTGGCATTAAAAAAGAATTATTGAATTACTCATTTGAAAAGGCCTTTTCCTGTGAGCGCTTTTTTTATTTCCAAAAGAAAATAAAAACCAGCTTTTCGATATACGGGCGCGATCGCGTGCCGGGGCGGAGTGGAGCAGAAGCTGAAAGCCCGAGAGTGGCAGGGCGTGGGGCCCACCCGATCCGCACCGTCCCCGCGGCCCACGAGACAGATCGAGCCGTCCAACGCCGTCTGACAGAGACGACCGACGGCACGTGCCCCTCTTAATATTTACTGCCAGGTTAGTACGGCACATGATCCAATGACCCTTACAACCCCCAAAATATCCACAATTTCCCTTTTTGCCCCCGAGGAGGGGGGCCCGGCGCACAGAACCCATCTGTGCGCCGCGGCGTACGGGAACCAGGGGGGCCGCCTTCGTGCGCCCCCGCCCGTGATCAGCGCCTCCCCCCTATCGCACCTGCGGACAACTCGGGGTAATCGTAGTGCCACCGTCGGATCGGCGATGGACGGAGCGTGTCGGTCGTACTCCAATAATTGTACCGCCGGCAGAAGACTCTGACAGACCCTTCGGAATGATTGACTCGATTTAATGACCCTTCTCCCAGCGACGCGCCGCGCTGGGCCCAGAAGCAAGGAAGAGAGAGAGACAGAGAGACAGAGAGAGAGAGGAATCTCCGCAGGCTTGTTGGCTCACGTAGCTCTCGCCGCCGGCGGACCGCCCGCCGGTCCCTGTCGGCATATCAGGGCCGCCTTGCCCTGCCTTGTTGGTGAGAGAACAGATGCCGCCGCCGCCGCCGCCGCTCCTCCCGCTCTGCAAAAAGCAAGCGGGCAGCGGGTGGCCGGCCCCACGGCGGCGCCGGCAAGAAGGCATCGCCGACCTGCTCCGCCGGCCGTCGGAGGACGGCGGCGCCGTGTGGGGGGTCGGATCAGATGAGACGGACGAGGACACAACCTTCACGGGTTGCTCTCCTATTTGGTGGTCAGCGCCCGCGTCAGCCTGGAGGGGCGTAGGAGCCCCCTGCTTTGCCTGATAAAAACCAGTGGAAAAGAGGAGGAATCCTTCCGGTGAAGGCCCGTCGTCAATGGGGAGCCGTGGGCTCTTCACTCTTTGCCGATTTGGTGTTTCTGCGGAGGAAGAGATGGGGGTTGGCTTGCGGATGGACAACAGCTGGATGGGCGAGACGTCCGGGGTTGTAGTTGGTGGGATCAGATTAAAAACAAGAATTTTTAATTTTTCAGATGTAGCTCAGATGGTAGAGCGCTCGCTTAGCATGCGAGAAGTTCGGGGATCGATACCCCGCATCTCCAAAACAGTATATAATTTCTTTTTGAGAAGTTTTTAACCGGCGGCGAAGACAAAAGTCATTCACTTCAGCGTTGACTTACCGACTACCCTCATTGGGGATTGAAGACCCCTTCGAGTAGAACGATGGGCCAACTTCTCCGTGCATTAACTGGCCACACGGCCTAGCCAGCTCGGGCGTCTCCTCTTTTAAAAGCTCGTACAGGAAAGGAGGGGGTTGACATCAAAACTGGCAACATGAATCATCAACCCGCTCATCTCAACGAATACATCGTTCAAATATACATCACTATTTACAGAAGAGGTGAACCGAGTAGCCGCACCAGCCAAACCTACAAAGGACTTCACCATTCTTCTCTCTCCCTCTCTCTCACTCTCTGCATCTTCTTCCAAGTAAGTGCACAATCTGCGATCACTCACTCGTCCGAGACGCTCTGGCATCAAGGGTTGCCGATGATCGTGACAAAGGGCACGAGCCGCTTGTAGTCCTTCCGCCTGCCGAGGGCGCAGGTGTCAAGCACACGTCCGAGGAGCATTCGAGTGTTCTGCAGAGCCACCGCTCGTTGCGACAGGGCCCCCTCCGGCGTCCCAACACCGCTCTGAGCCGCAGCAGCGGCTCCCCCTCCGACGATGTACTGCAGTGGGCCGCTCCTGGCCTTGAAGGAGCTCTGCGGAGCCAGCACGATCGGCGAGACCTTCTCGTTCTCGCCGCCGCCGCCCTGCTCCTCGGCGTGGCCACTCCCGGTCAGGCTGCTGCAGCTGTGCAAAAGGGCTTCCAAGACGCTCAGCGCCTCCCAGCACAGCGTGCTCTCCACCAGCTGCGAAACTATGGCGTAGACGTGCGGACTCTGCACCGCGTCGACGGGGGTCTGCTGGAGGAAGGCCTTCAGCAGCAGGAGCACCACCCGCTGGTACTCCACCGGTCCCTTCTCCAGCAGCCGCAGCAGATGGCCGAAGGCCAGGGAGGAGTGCTTCGGGAACCACTCGGCGGAGATCAGCGGCGAGACCCGGGAGAAGAGCGCGTCGATGGAGGCGATCTTGCTGTGTGAGTAAGCCGAGAAGACCTCCGCCAGCTCGTCGAGAGACTTGGTCCGGCACCAGAGGGATATATTAGACGCCACATAGCGGGCTTTCTGATGCTGCCGCTGCAATGGAGAAGCGGGCATCGTTGGAGCTGCTACGTCCACCACGAGCTGCAAGCTCAGCCATGGCAGCAGGCCCGTGATGTGCATCAGCAGCCGGGTGTCGCCGCTGCCGAAGATGGAGTCGCAGGTGGGGACTGTAATCTGCGAGAGAACCTCGACGGCCGAGCCATGGCTCACCGTAGACAAGAGCCCTTTAAGCACCAGCGGCTGGACCCCATCAAAGGCCGGCACTTTCCCGCTTTCAAGCGGGGACGGCTGCTCTCCGCCGGTCCTCGACTCCGTCCTCTGTAACTCCGCCAGCTCGCCGGCGTTGTCGTCCAGTTCATCACGCGGCATGCTGGACAGAAGGACGTTCTCCGTCGTCTGGTCGCGGAACGACAGCCGATCAATCACCCGTCCGAAGAGCTCGAGCACTTGGCAGTAGACGTGCACGAAGTCCGTGTGCATCATCGCGACACAGGCCCAGAAGAGCTGCGGGTAGAGGATCACCTTCTCCGGTTCCAGATTCTCCACCATCACCTGCAGGGTCAGGAGGATCTCCATGACGAACCCTAAAACAGCGGGAACTGGGTTCCCCAGGCAGCGGTGGAGGCACCGGAGGAGCAGCACGCAGGCGTCGCTCTTCACGCTCGGCCGCAGGGCACGGTAGATTTGGTGCGAGCGGCATGCGAGATGCCTGGAGGTGCATTCCGTCGCCCATTTCAGTGCTTCAGCGCCCCACGTCTCGCGAAGGTCCCCCTGGAAGAAAATGGCGTCCACCATGTGGGATACCAGGGCAGAGAGGAGGCTAGTGCTTGGCAGCTCCGTCCTGCTCAGTGTGGCGTCCTCGTTCTCCCACATCATGCTCCCGCGCTTGGACTGGAGGTACTTGATCAGACTCACCACCTGCTGTTTGTTCTCCCCTTCGCTTTTCTCAACCTCGTACAGCTCCAGGTGCCGACCGGCGAGCGAATACAGAAGATTGATGAGAAGATGCTGGCAGTGCTCGAGGACGATGTCTTCTGAGCTGTCCAGAGAGACGAGCGTCACGTGGAAGAGCAAGGGCAGGTTCTCACGGAAGTCCTCGTCGTTCTCGTAAGCAATCTCCGCTAGGAGGATCAGCGCAATGTCTGCACGAGAGAGAAGGTGCTGATGATGCCCCTGCAGAGCGGACTGGAGCTCGCTGGCGTTGACGCCATGGAGCCCCCCGCTCCCAGGATGCAAGACGTCTTCCACGGAATTGGGCGTGTCGAAGGGGTAGTCTCCGCTGTCGCGAGAGACGTGGCGGCTCCTGAGATTGCCCGTTGAACTCCGAACCCCCAGCAACGGTCCCGACATGTTCAGGAGCGCCGGCAGGAGTTGACCAGATCGCCCCGTTGCAGCGGCAACGAGGCCCATTTCAGGAGCCATCGGACTGAGGGGACCCGAGATGCTTCGTCCGGCTACAGTGGAGGTCCGCCAGCTGAGGCTTCCGCCTGTGTTTCTGAGTGGGCCGTCGAGGGAGCCACGGACGAGCAGAGGGGACATGTGAGGCTGGTTATCCACCACCGTGGGGACTTGGACTGCAGCAGGGCCCTGAGAGAACTCCAAGACAAAATTCCCATTACCGTCTCCCTTCGCAGCCGTTGGCCGCACTGGCTCCACGCTATCCTCTAGCATCCTCTGAGACAGCTCGAACACCAGGTGGTCGATAGTTTGCTGGGGGCAAATGCGAGCAAGATAGAGGCTGACCCGCTTGGCCACAGAGAAGTACGTAGCAAAGGCCCCACTTATCTCAATAGAAGTATTAGAGTCGCAGTCTTCGATTCCCTTTGCGATCAGAAAGTCAAGAACGGGGCCGATATTTCGAGGATTGCTGGCGATGGTTCTCCAGAGATTTTCGATTTCATCGGGGAACTGATCTCCATGCTTCCACGTCACATAATAAAGACTCTTCAGTAATCTTTCACTCCAACCGCAATCCCAGAGTTTAACGAAGTTCAGGTTCTCGATCCAGGGAGCCATGCAGGTGAGTACCTGATGCTGGGCGATTATGTCAACGGCATCCAGCTGACGCTGCATTATCTCCTCACACAGAAGCTCGCTCAACTCGGGGTGGTCTTTGGCGAGCTTGGAGGAGAGCTTATATTGGAACTGTTGGTAAGAATCAGGAAGGTTTCCAACCACAGATGCACGATAGTGGCCCACTCCTTCAATGTCTTCCTCAGCCCATTCACGAGCAGAGAGCGTCTCCAGCATTTGGAGGGCATCATCACGGATTTGCTTGGATGGGTCCACGACTTTGTAGAGGATCAAGCTCAGAAGTCTTTGGATCTCACATCTGGGGATATCTTGGCGCATGTACACCTCGGCCAGCACCGTGAAGTAGCCATCGGCGATGGAGGCATCAGGTGAGTAGCACTGAGAACACATTAATGATTTGTCAATCATAGTTTGGGATAAATGCAATACTATGGGACATTTTCTCCACCAACCAGACAACAACCCCCACCCCTCAAGAAAAAAAAAAGAGAGTGATCGCTCTCTCCAGGTCCCCAGACTATAACATAAGAAGGAAAATAATGCACAATGAAGAATTGACTCCATGCTTGGTATTTTGATGGAAGAACCGTCGGAGGTATGTCACTAGAAGTCTAATGAATACAATCTATATTTCTTTCAAAAACATATTTTCCATAAAACGGTGTTCCAAAAGAGATTTCAGGGAATGGGGGTTCACTCATTGAAGTACAGACTGATTTGAGGCTCATGATCAAAGTTTAACTAAGAATTTCCTATACAACACCGGGGAATTAATAAAGGCAAGAAAAATATACCTGATCAATGCATGCAGGAAACAGATCCAAATTAGTCTGGAGAAGATTTTTCAGAGCTGTTTTTGCCAGGAGCACCCGAAGTTGCCGTTGCTTGTCACGTCCACCGCGCGCACCATCGCTAGTGTACTTTAAATAAGATGGGGTTCTTGGATCAGCAGGTGAATACCCAAATGGTACTCTTGGAGCATGTTCTACAAATAAACTGTTGATCCATGTTATTACTCGGCCACTCATTTTTCTGGAATTGTCGTCAAAGCAAGGGCCATATAACAGAGAAGCCATGGCATTCATGGATGTCCACTGTATTGCTTCAACTTGCTCGATTGTTTCCCTGTCAAACGAAATTTTGTCAATCGATTCCCTAGATCGATTATGTTGACTCGACCTATAACGTTCAATTTCACGACGATAGTCACTGTTATCCTGGCCTAATATGCCACCGCTTTCATCACACCATGAAAAGAGTAGATCAAAATATCGCTTGCGGCTCCGGGGATCAAATCTGTCAGACTTTGATTCCACTAACTCAGGAGCTAAATGTCGCAGGACAGAGGCTAAGGCAAAGCGAAGTTGTTGTGTATCTTGAAAACTATCAGTTGATGATATTATCTGACGGTATGTTTCTTCGATGAATTTCAGAAAGTAACGTCGGAAGTCAAGCATACGGCTCAGTGTTCCCGGCCAGACTTTCTCGGCAACTGTTCGATATATGTTCGCAATATGAATGCGGAGTTCTTCTCGTCGAGGCTTTTGGTTCTACATTCACATATCATACAAATGTGAGTCCTACGTGATTATAAAAATTGATAATAAAAATTTAAAAAAAACAGACGAAATGACTCGTCTCTTCAATCTTGTATGATAAAATTTTTGACAAGAAATTGGAAATGACGTTCCTAAATTGGTTGTCCCTTGAAGATGATGGGGAAACAACAATTTCTTTCCTTATGTTATTTATTTTCCTCAAAAAAAAAAATAGAGCATCCTTGTGTGTGATTTCTGGTCAAGGATACCTTTTGTAAGGTAAAAAACTGAGGGCCCAAAAGATTGCAATTCCATTCTGAAAAACTTCAAAAAAACTCAATCAAGGAAAATAGGAAGCATTCATGAAACCATTCGACTTTCAATTTCATCTTCATTTGGGCATGAATTGAATAATCTAAAATGTAAATTTTAATCAGGCGACCGCATCAAACGTTGTAGAAGAAAATGCAATCCAGCTCAATTTATTGCAAAGAAGAATTCGAAAAGAGGAGAACGGATAGGGAGGGAATTACATCCCTCATGACACTATTTTCTGCAGCCATGATTTCACCGCTAGTTTAGGAACGTTTCATGCACTCCTTTACACCTTTCTTCCACACTTCTCTCTTTGTCCTTCTCTAGTACTCTCGATTGTTCTCTTTCAACTCTCTCCTCTTTCTCTCTTCCTTTTCACTATCCAATCAACGGTTGTTGTCTCCTCGATCTTCAACTGTCGGCTTGGATTATCAAACAACGATGTGGGTTCAAGAAAGAAGGGCTGATTCTAGAACAGTCAACCTTTGAAGCAAGGATCTAGAACTAGAAGTTATACTATTGTAGAGTGTTCAAGAAAGATGAAAATATCAGATTATTTTTTTCTAAAATTAATCAAAAGATAGAGAACAGTTTGGGAAAATACCTTCCATTTTGGTTTTCCTTCTGTTTCTGATGAAAACTCTTCAACAAATGTAGCAAGCTCACTAAACATGATTTCACAGACAGCCAAATGCGAGTGACCAACAGCAGAGGCAGCTGCATGCTACAGCCACACGAAAAAGCACGTGCCATACATTACTTGACTGATATTCCTTTTTTCTTATAAAATTTTATCTCATTAAGCAAGCATTCAAAAGCTAAAACTTCATCTTTGACGACAAAAAAAATAATCCAAATATAAAGGAAAATGGCCACAACGTCTTATGGTTGGCACATTGAAATGGGCACTCGAAGTCATGGACAAATGAAACCATGTCCATGAAAATAAAGAGCATAAAAATACGCTTGAAAAAAATCATATCTTTGGTCCGGTTGCCAATGCTCATCGAAATCAAATAGGATTGCCAAATAATTTCATCCAGTAACAATCAAAGAGCTTGACGGAATGTTCTTGTCTTGGCAAAAAACTTAACCGTTAAATTATCATCATTAGTTCTATTCCAACCAGCTATCTTGAAAATATAGGCGATGGCACTCACATTCACAGTGTAATTTTGGGCTAGAGGAGGTTCATAAGAACTCCCATAAGCCAGTCACAGGGTGAAACTATTTAAGCTCTTGAAGCAAAGGAGCACCTTTCAGAGGCTCTACCATATGAAGAAACTGTCTTCCAGTATAGCATGAAAGGTTGGAAACATTTTGAATGAATCATACCGCATGAAGCATGACAGAAATTATAAGAGTTATAAATTTTACACTAAGAAAGACAGGGTGTGAACTCTCAACTTGTAGGTAATCACCAAGGATTGGTACTCACAGCATGTGTATCAGATGCTTGTCTCAGGGAAGGGAATATCAGATGGTAGATTTCTTTAGTTGTCTTGAAGTTGCCATCTTCTCTGTTGTCAGGAGGGCATGAACATGCAAACATGGAATACATTACCCACTGGTCTAGTTTGTTTTCAGCATCTAGTAACTGATAAGCTTTGCCACCTAAATCAACAGAAGTGATATGAGCAAGGCGCCTCATGACTTCCAACCTGAGACAAGTAAAAAGTTAAAAGTTAGCCCTACAAAATGCTTCCTAATGATCAAGAGATCCTATCAAATGTGACATTCTTTGAGTGTAATTTTTTTATTCACGCTAGAACTGTCAAGAACCATATTGATGTCCAGACAAATATAAAGTCTTTTCGAAGCCATATTGATGTCCAGACAAATATAAAGTCTTTTCGAAGCCATATTGGTATTATATCAAGAAACATACGGTTCAAGTCACTGTCACATAAAAAGTAAAACGATGATGTAGATCATGAATAGTCCCACAGGAGAAACAAAAATAATGCTTCCCCAAGAGAAGAATCATAGTTAACGATAATGATATACTCTAGAAGTTTGAAAGAATCCTCCATCCCCTTACCTTGCGTCCTGCACAGAGTTGGGACAGAGTTCACCAGCGTATTTGACAAACTCACTAAGACAACGAGACCATCTGCTCTTATCTTGGCCCTCGAGAATGGACTGCAGTGTCACATCAAGCGGAATAGCATCCAACTCACGCCGAAAATCATGAGAACGACCAGAATCCCAGCAACAGCTCTGAACGATATCATCCTGCAAATTTCTGAAATGGTGATTGACTGTTCTCAATGAAACAGTATTCTATAAACCGAGAGAAAAGAAATCCAAAAGCAAAATAAGTAGGAAATGCTAGAAATTTACCCCATTTTCTTCCAAGACGTCGATGACAAATATTGGTTCTGTTCCGTACAACATTTTATTATCAGATCCATTTACTGAGATGTACTTTATGTCATTACTTAGTCCTCTCACACAGCGCAGCAATTCCAATGCCGTATGTCTAATCTGAACATCAACAGAGCTGAGGAAGACAAGACCAAGAGCATCCATTTCTGAGGTGTCGAATTCGGCTGAATCACCCAATCGACGGAAAAGAGAAAGTTTATGACGTGAGTCAGATCCCAAATCTGATAGCTTCACATTCACATCATTTATTAATCTTTCATCAGACAAGCAAGCCCTCCACAAACGCATCAGATCTAACAACCGACCCAAAGATGTCTGGATGAGAAGGGGGAATTCATCAGAAAGATTTCGGACGAAGTTTGCCATTCCTTTCAAGACAGCATAACGACGGTGTGGAAGGAATCTTATAATCCGGTTCAGCACTAGAACTGCTTCTTCACGAACACCAGGATCAATACTTATCCCATGTTGAGGAATAAAATCGGTAATTTTTTCACTCCGACCAACTTCCTCAATCAGGTAAGGAATGCACTTTAGAACTGACCGAAAAAGGGATCCCTGAGATTTTTCCTTGTTAACAGCGTCTGAATTACAAAATGCGAGTTTTGTTAGCAATAATGAAAAGCAAAGTAGACTGAGTTACAATCCAATGCTCAAAGACGTCAATTCCCGTATTGTAGTAAATCAACAAAAAAGATGGAAAAACAGCACTAAGCAGCAGGTGCTCTTTACATAGCCTGATTATCAACCCGATTAGCAGGATCACAGGACACAAAGTTACCTCCATGAATATCACACTCGTAGGAAAAATGTTTTCCAGCATAAACCACATTTATCACATTCCCACACCTTAATGATTTTCTTTTGAAGAAGGTTGAGTAGCGAAAGTAAGAAAAGAAAGGAGAAGATTAGCCGTAACTTAAATCTTCACTCCATCACTTCTCTTTCTATTCTTTTTTTCTCCCCCTCTGTCCCTATTTGTCATTCGCTATTCTTCATTTCCTCATGTTCAGCCATGTTTTTTCTCGTCCATGTGATATGGAAGACTGAAGACCGAGAAGCTTTTAAATGGATCTCAGCTCGCCCCAAGACCATCTGATTACACTCATATCAGCCAACTCCCAGAGATTGTTTTTTACAAAATTAGGGGAATTTTGGATTTTCCATTGAAATGGGATTAGGAATAGTCACGGGTAGTGATTAATTGCTCTGAAACGTCAATATGTAGTAGCTCATGATTTATCCAGTGCTACTTTAGGCTGGGAAAGGTGGTTCCCACAGCACAGTTTAGATGAGGTCAGAAACCCTTTCCCAAACCAGTCAACCCTTTTCCGAATGTTGGCTTTGTAATATAAGCATATTAACAACTTATACAGTCCCTGGAATAGAAAAAAAACTGGATATGTAAACTGCACGTTAGGAATACACGGAAGGGGTTGACGAGGTTTGTCTTGCACATATTTCCTTAATTTGATCATCCCCGACATATGAATAAATACTGGAACTAGAGAATGAATAGCCATTGCCAATAATTAACCCGAGAACTACCTGTTCATCTTTAATTAAACTCTACATACTCCAAGGACTGTAGATTATACACAAATTTGTCTCATAAACAAAAAGCTCACAGCTAGAACAGGATCGGAACTATGTGCAGCTGGTTCTCTAAGACTTGAATATAGGGTTGTAAACAAAGCCGTTATGCTTGTTCAACAAGCTAAGTTGGGGCATTCCAAGATCGATTCATTAAGATTCATATACGAGTTCTTTTATTTATTTATTTGTAGTTGGGCATACATCCACAAATTCCGCCTATTTCCTCAACACCTACTCACCCTGCACACCCTCCAGTCCCTTTCATCCCTCTCTATTATATAACTGATAGTGTATAGTCATTGGGAAAAAAAGCTGCGTCACAACCAAGAAATTAGTAAAATACCTATTGTGGTCTTTGATGAAGTAAGAAGCGCCTGACTGTAAGCTCTATTGCAAGATCTCAAGATTGATTCAATTGCAGATTTGACTTTTGGAATGTAGTGTTCTATTTCAGAACCTGTCGCATAAACATAGACTTTGTTAAAAGAGACCTGGTGGAACTAATGTCAAGTGGATCAACATGCGAGTGAAGGAAATTGAAAGTTGCTGTAAGGGTAAATCACCTCGAAAAAATTCTAAATCACCACATTGGTTTGGCGGCGACATGACTATTGCAAGAAGAGCCTTCAAACCAATAACTTTAGCCTCACTTAAACTATCTGGTCTCAGTAGCTCTAGTATCATATGATTCATGGAAAAATCCAAGTTACTCTCAGCAATAGTAACACAGAACTCAACAATTTTATCATGTTGAGCATCTTGTGTTAGCATCCCTTTTTTCAAAGCATTAAGCAATTGTGACGTCACACTGTCTAGACAGTCCCACACATGATTTTTGGACTGATAATTTGCATACACATTTAGATAAAATCTCAGAACTCGGTGAAGACAGTCTAATGCCATAGAACGGTGGTTTTTGTCCTGCATGGCAAAGCGAGTTCACATTAAATAACAGCAAAAAAAGAGAGCAGAAATTCTCATTTCATTGATCCAAAAGCCAATTCTACTAGCCTGCATGTAATTCCGATGATACAACTAAAATATCATAACGCATGCAGACTTTTTTCCGTACGACTTACTTTCAGATGCTTGTACAAGTACTCCATGTGAGTGACAAAATAGCCAATGAACGTTTGAGGATCTCCAAGGCAAAGCAGAAGAGTGACCAATGGATAGCCAACCTGATAAAGAACACTTCATTTCAAGGAGCTCTCGATGAATTCATGACAAAAAAATTGATGTAAAATGTCAACATACAGCAACCTTGAAAATCAATGTAATAGTCGATTCCTTAAACAGTGAGAAGAAACAAAAGAAGCATCCATGAAAAAGTGAAACAAATTGAATGAATAAACTAAATAAAAGGACCAACGGCATATGTAAATAGCACATTCTGATATAACTTGGCTCCAGTTTGATGGTTTCTTTCCACTGGCGTGTTTTCCTTTTTATCTCCCGCTATGCGATTCTCTATTTATATGTACTTCAAAGAACTGGTCTATGACAAAGTTCCAAATGTTTCTGTCAAACTACTGACAGAATCTAATAGAAGATATGATCAACTGTCTCTCAATAAATTTCGCCAGAGATTCACCATGTACGACTTAGGTTAGGTGCCACTGCCAGCTGATTTTCAAGGTTAACGAATCACCTGTACGCTATATCCTATCAACCTTGATTGCAGGGTCAGCGAAGATATGGCAATAATACCAAATTTGAGTAGAAATCGCTTCAATCTAGAGCTATTTACGTGACAGCAGACATTTCTGTCTCTCCAACAGAGAAAGAGAGCCAATTTTTAAAGAACTTCTTGTCAGTCCTTTCCCTTTATGCAACTATCTGATTCAGAAAGGAGACCACATCAGTATCTCAGTGTCAAATCAAAATACTGACCACCTAAGAACCCGAATGGAAAGATTTCATGTTAATCAATGGATTTTGATCACAAGGGAATGACACAAAGTCAGGCGATATCAAAGTTGACAGCAATCATACTCCTTGCCAAAACTACAAAAACAGAATAAAAAGGTGACGTAATCCTCCTGTACTTTTCCTTAGTCCTTTGGGCCATGAATTGTCAGAACAGACTACTCTGCTAAGACAAGTCAATTTCCGATAAAGATCAAAGCCATTACAAAAACTACCTAGTTCTAGCCTCTTCGTAATATCCCTTTTTCATAACCACGAATCAGAAAGTATGAAGCAAACTTTCTTACAGCATTATTAGTAAAAACGGGTTTTATCTTCTGCACGGAAAAGGATCTATTAAAAAAATTAAACGGTAACAACATATTTCTTTGAGTGAAAATAAAGAATATCTGTTACATAATGGCATGCTTAATGCTTTAATGTATACAACATAGATACGTTCGTACGCTGTAGAGATGCAGTTGTGATTAATCAAATGGCAAAACCCATTAGCTTCACCAAAAAATTGTCGAAAACACAGAGAAGAGAGATCATCAAAAGTAAAAGCACCAAATGATAGTAGAAAGTGTTCTCTACTCCAAAAAACTAACCGACCACTATGGGAAGTGAGAATTACGTACAGATATATGTTTGCTCTGCTTGTCCATCCAATGCATAAGTTGTCCTCTAATTTGAGCAACAGCTTCATACCAAAGAGTTAACGCAGAATCTCCACATGATGGAGGCCAATGGTTCTTTCCACCCTCAGCAAGTGGTGCTAATATGCTAGAAAGCATGTTGCACAATGCATGTTGGAGTTCACTTTTCCTTTTATGAGGAGCACGAATAAGAGGATTTGCTTTTGCAACAAAGGAAGCCGAGGCATTTAATGCACCCTCCGTCTTGACCTAGGGCCAGTAAAAATTATAGAATATCACTCAAAAAGCCAAAAAATGTTATTAGAAGATAAATTGATCAAGGTACTGTATCTTACTACGTTATGCCGTTTTTATTGTTAAAAGTGTCCAAACTAATATTGAAGAAGGTACTGGAAAATATTACGGAGCACAGAGATTAACTAAAAACAGGAATAACAGTATAAACTTTATGAAATCAGTAATAGTCAATTGTTTAGCCAAACTCAAGACTTCTAGTGTCGTTTTTCAGGCTACCAGATTGAGACAAGGTTACGACTGAAAAGCGTGACAAGTATCCTCTGAAGACAAAGTAGCCTCGGCAACAATTATTTATGCCACAAACAAAGTAACATTCAAGGTATGCCATAGCATCATCAACAAATCATTCAATCTTGTAAGGATACGGATTTCCGAGCGTATCACCAAATGCCACCACAATTACCCTCAGCCATTTCAAATGAAAATGGCTATATGTGGGCAAATAAAAGCCACCCAGACTCTAGCATGGATAAGACAAATTATATTATCTTAAATCCTATTCTACATTTTAAAACAGATAACCCAAATGAAGAATCAGTTCAGCTAAGTTGTTATCAGCTTAACAACAATGGAAGTCTCTAAACTAACAGGTTTACCATCAATAGAATAGTTCTCCACCAGTGGAATCAAGATTGGCCATACAGGCATGAAATATCCCATCATTAAAATGGAAAATCAATTCGGTGCATCTAGAAAATTATGAGTATATATAATAAAAATACTAACTTAAAGAAGCGTTATTACAGGCATTCCCTTTTAAAATCCACCCCAACATCAGGAACCTAATCTTGATTCTCTTCAGAGATATCGCAATCAACTTCAAAAGTGAGAGAAAAATTCATCAGGAGGTGAATTAGGTAATGACAGATGCAAGTAGTGTATAATGGAGACGTCAGATACGGTAGATAAGGAAATCTGAAGCAATGGAGGTGACAGTAAGACATGAAAATGTCAGAATCGGGTAGATGAAGGAGAAAGAAGAGGACAACAAAAGAAAAGATGTGGAAATGGCATCTTTCTGGAATCCAACAAAGAATTGGTCGAATCAATCAATTCGATGCACAAAGAGTAATTACTACCGAACCTGGTGCCGACCAACATCTTTGGATGCCTATTATCATCACTAGGACACGTACTAGGAGGGATATTCAAGCAAAATATAGACACGATTTGCCCCAATTATGACGATGGTCTTCAGATGTTTAACTACACCTAGAGATAATTGCCACTGGAGCTCTAAAGATGTATCATTAGCGCCATTTGATCATCGCTAACAATGCTCCACGGACATAAAATTGACACCACAGGTATCACAACCAGCAGAGCTCGCGCATACTACTGGCACTTGTATTCAGTTATGCTTATTTCCACACTTGGCAATCACATTTTGTCCTACATCCAACACCTCAAAATTCCAATTTTGCCTTAAATATCAAAATTTGTAGTGACTTGGTCAAGCAGTTCTGGTCAAGTATAGCGCTCCCATACGTAGGATAATTTATGCCACCTGTTAGCTTACTTGACAGAGCCATTACTGTGTCCCTGTCAGAGGTACTAACTTGACAGTGGCATTATTTTGTAGAAAACAGCAACAAAATTAAGATATACTTTACTAGAAGGATAGTTTCTATTGCATTCAGGTAATCAAAAAAAGCCTATTTGTATGTTATTCTTCTCCAAAACAGTCTTACAGACTAGTTACAGAAGTAAAGACAACAGTTTACAGGGCAACTGCAGGGAAAATTTTTAAGGAAAGTTGTCCAGAAAAAAAAAGAAATATAGAACAGACCCCGAGTTTAAGATACCGCATTCCATTAATTATGCTGAGTGTTTCACTCCTAGCAACACCAGTTTCAATATGTCGAGTTGTCAGTTCCATAAAAAAACGCTCAGTGACAGAACTGAACCTGCACAAATAGTAAAAGTAAGAATCACTAATTCTGTATAAACTATCAAATACTAGTGATCTTTCGAAGGTGGGAATTTCAAACTTCTATCGTACAAAACCAGAAACCAAAGGTACGATTTAGAGCAGAAAAGAAAATGTAAAGGACAATCCACAAAGAATTTTCTGCACATCTACCATGTTCAAGAAGCTATTAAGACATTTAGCCTCTCTGGATGTCAGCTCCCAGCCTTTCCAACAATAGGCCCGAATGCCTTCAGCAGACACGACAAAGTATTTGGTTTCTGATTAAATAAGAAACCTCATGAAATCCTTATCAAACATTCTGAAGCCTCTAGTGTTACTGTCCATCAAGTTCTCCTAGTATACCCTAAGATTTATCCGTAAATTCCATTCTCTCTACTTTCATAAGTAGATCCATGATGGGCTATACAACGCCGTTAGCCCACAAAGCCAGTTTTCATACTGCTATGCCACGGTAGGACAAAGGTGAGATCTTACACTGAATCCACATCTTGACATAGTTGCTAAGGTGCATCGAGAGACAGAGCAGAGGTAAAGCTCAAAAAAATTACCTGATGATAGTACACGTTCTTTGTCCCAAAAAGCCTAAATCTTGACATTTTTAACAAAGGAAATTAATTATTGACTGTGCCCATGCTTCTTGCTCTCAGCCAAGATCCGGAACTGATATTTTTTTGTTCGGTATGTCAACAGAATTTTCTTTTTTTTTTCTGAAAATGTGTTTTTTATTTTTTAAAAATAACAAGTATAGTATCCAAGAAATAAAAAATATCGGAGGAAACAAAGCCTTAGTGTACCTTATACGTGATAAAGCACCCAGCAGCTGTGCAACAAGATCTAAAAGAAGGCCTCGTAAGTCAACGAGTGAAGGGTAGTCAACCTGGCTAACAACCCTGCAACGGAAAAACGGTTACAGACATTTACATGAGGTATATAGTCAATAAACAGGTCTTTATAAGAGTAAATTTCCGTGCCCAGAGACGTGTAGTATTACTTGACCTCCCCAACTTTTCCAACACATTGATGTGGCTAATGGGCCAAGGACAACTTCTCATAAAAACTTTGGCTTCAATATATGTACCAAAGCCTTATTAAGTTGACAGGTTAAATTCAAAGCTGTGAGAAGATATTTTAAATTCTCCAGCCCATCTAAGCTCTATCTATTTCACTTGTCGTTGCATTCCCTGTCCACTCTAGCTCAAATTCTATCGCCTCAAAAGTTATTGGGACCCTAAATAACCTACTATCATTAAGAAACTATTGTGCAAAGGAAAGAAAGTCAAGTGAAAACCAACTAAAAAATGATTCAGACTTTGACAGGTAAACTTCTGCCAGTGAACTTAAACATGTACCCATTCATCAACGTCAGTAAACTAGCAAGCTAATTTTGATTCTATAAATTGAGTGATCCACCTATATTTCAGGCAACCAGACAGATAAAAAGCCATTAGCCTACGGCCGTACATCTAACTGATAAGGATAAATGACTAGGCAACACGTTTTTAAATATTTATAAATATTTTTTAAATATTAAGTACACAAAATAGTTTAAAAGAATATATGGATATACAACAAAAAAAATCACAAAAGTCAACTTTTTTCTGTCGAACAATGTAAGGTAGTAGTCAGGGTCATTTATTGATCAAATAAAAATAGAAAATACCAATAGCATATATGCAAAATGTATGTGCACCCATTCATCTCGTTCTTTAAGGGAAACAACATACTTAGAGCGATTAATTAGTTTGTTTAGGAACAACAAGCTCTCGCATGTATCCCACTTCATAAAAAAGGGTGGTCTTGATAAATGTTACATGGTCTCACCTGTCGGCATTGATTAACCAGTCGAATACAAAATTTTCAAGGCCTGACCAAAGTTTTTCTGTTCAAGAGGATGAAAGATGGGAGATTAGATGAGGCAAAATCAGAAAAGAAACATTGCTACAGAGGGAAAGATCATCAAGAAACTAATAATTCCGATTTAAAAAAATTAGGAAGAAAACCTGTTATGCCCTCCTGGGGGCAACACTCCACAAAACGAATGCATGCAGAACAAAAAATACATTCCACTCCAAGCTGTACTGGGTAAGAATAAGAAAAGAACAGAAATTAATAGCAACTAAATAAGAGAAGTGCAGAACCAAAAAGCTATACAATGAGCTCAAGCAATTTCAAGAAGTCGGAAGCTTTTGCTAAATTCAATTTCATTAACTTCTAATTTCTAAAGAAGTACAAGAAATTATGACTGTTAGATAAAAAATATATATTTCACACAAACCGTAACTTAAATCTTGAAAATCGTCTCAGTTTTTAGAACAAAACGAAAATTTAGGCAATTATCTATAAGCTCCATGATAGTTTTCATAGTCATAAGAGCCTTTAAATGTTACCCACAAGTGCCACCCATCATAATTACTATCACCATTGTGCTGTCACCATCAGCCACCTGTTAGGCCCACCTCCCAGTCCGCCTCCGGGCCTACAATCAGTTTAACATATACCCGAAAGAGGGGCAACTTACAGGGAACTGAAGAGTAATTTGGAATAGGGCTGCCTGTTGAATGAGACAAAGGGGCCCTAAAAGAACAATTAGGGTATCCAGAAGTGCGTCAACAGGGAGAGTCAGGGGTCAAGCTAAATACCTCCCAAAACCCTAGGGACGTCCGCTGGACGTCTCGTCCTTCTTTTCCCCCCATTCCCCTGTTATTGTGGGCAGGGACGCTCGTTATTCCACTCAAGTTGGATTTTCTATTCCATCCTCTTGTATGTCTTACCGAGTCGAACCAAAGGAACCTAACACCACCATGGCAGCAGTGCCAGCCATCATATGCACTTAAAAGAAGACGCCAGCAGACGACACTAGAAAAGAATCCCAGGATATCGGAACCATTTTTCCCAGATTGTACCAAAGGGAAAATTTTGGCCACGCGCATTACCAGGGTCCAGCTGAAGACCTGACTAACACCCACCCCCCTCCCTCCTCAGCGGTGCACTCCCCCTCTGCGGTATGCAGCAATGCCCTTCAGTGTGCGGCAGTTGTTTGGTGGCCTTGCTGGGCAAACATTAGTCCTGAGCTTCAAGCTTGCCCTCAAGCAGGGCCACTGACACCACCAAGAAATAGATTGCTTTCAATTATAAACCCAGGTGATAGCTTCAGCACTATTTCCTTTGAATGTGATTTTTTGGGCCTAAAATAGTACTGTTTGCATGAAAGAGAGTTTCTGAGAACAGAATAAACCTGTAGAATACCAGAATTTCACATGCTTACCACTAGATTATCAAGTACAAGGATTAGTAATGTGTGGACTCAAAACTAGATTCCATGGCTATTAATAGGAAGCCACAGAAAGTAGAAGCAAAACACTTGAAAATCAAGGACAAAAGCAATTCAGACCTTTTTCTGGTATGTAGAGGCATCATTTGCTCCCTTTGGAGATTCACTGTGATAAATTAATATAATTCTCAATGAATACGCTAAAAAAATTATTGGCACAACAGTTGAAAGCGAAAAACCGTTTAGACATGAAACGATCTGACCTACAAACATGACAAAAATGAAATCTTGTCCACATGTCACAGTAATATTTATCACAAACAAATTTGAGAAAAAAATTCACATATATCAACTAGTTCATCATATCCCAGACTTCTGTAAAAAATGTGACAATTTAGACTTGCAGCCACAGGTAATTCAATTTTCCATGTCAATCTCTTGAAGTTCATAGAAGTTGGTAAAAAAAAGACCACTTCAATTTACAATTTCACATGTTCATAATTCAATTACCAACTCTATAAATTTATATCTGACGGAGCCACAGGTTAACCTTCTATAAGAAGTCTGCAGGTTTGTTATCAAGAAGTTGTTCCTCGTATAATAGGACTTGATGTGCGAATCACTGGGTTGGAGTTATAACAATAAAAAAGGTACGAGCAGAACTAGGGGTTCCGTTACAAGCCAAAACTAGACCCTTTCTTCAAAGCAACCTACTGTGACCTTTTGAAGGTTTCCCTTAATAAACACACGGAAGAGCGTCTGAATTGGCGGGTCAATCGTCTTATGCGGCACAACAACAGAGTAAGTAAAGACCGCAGAGACATTGAGGTAGTTATGGAGTCAGAGTTGAAAGAAACGAAGCCATGGATGCCTGTTTCGGAGACTACCTGATTACTGCAAGTATAAGAGGAATAAAGAACGATGCCTGTTTTGGAGACTACATGATCGGATCTGTTGGCTGGATTGCCCAACAGAGGAATTTTCAAAAATCGATCAATCCATATCAACAACCCGTTCCCTTATACTTTTGTTGCGTGTGTGGCAGCAGCATGTGCAGTTTAAGAGATATCAGGCCAGCCTGCATTCACTGCATCCCGTAGCAACAGGCGGTGGCCAGCAGAGATCAGTGAAGAATCGGCTGCTCCAGCTTAGAGCTGCGTCTGGATCATATTAACCAAAATTGTAGTGCTCACGTGTTTTATTTAGAGATTAAAAGCATGCCCTCGACGACCAAAGGGCACGTCCCGAAAAAGCAAATGAGAAATATCACACCTGTACTTTGATCAGATACTGCAAGTGTTTTTTTTACAGCAACGAAAATCCAGGCGAATGTTTGAAAGCACACTGGGCTGTCCACACACATTTGGACAGCTATGATTATTGAACTCGGAACCTCACTTCCCAAGGGCATATCTGAACGAATAGCTCTATGGCCAGCGGGTTGATTCTAAATTAGCCTACAAATTACTTTAAATAAAAAGGAAAAGGCATCGTCAGCATTTTCTGTGAGCAATAAAAAAATACTATGGTGTTCCAAAAAGATCACTGAAACGATACAATTTATATCTCGGTTGTTTATTCTTGAAAACCTTTCCGTATGAAGTTTCGTGACGAGAATTTTTTAGACAAATTTCTCATTTTTGGCAGCCAACTTCGTTTTCCTGGGCTACAGTTTTCTATCACACTGTACACCTCCCTCATATGCTTTAACACACGATCTGATTAAGAATGCCTCTTTGGAGGACCATCTTCATAACTTTATATCTTCTTTTGATCTATTTATCAGAAAACTAACCACATGTTGCAGACCTGTGAACTCCTCTATTCTCTTTCAGATGAGCTTCCTTCGAATCTGAACTCTCATCCTCAGGAACCTGAACAACCACCAGTTGAGAAATGTATCTGCCAACATCCATGGATATCAAGGATAGATTTGGGAATTGACCAAATCCCCCCATGATTTGCCAATCGCCCTCCCGAAACCTTACCATCTTAATGATTTACCATATTTAGCCTAGAAAAGGGTCAAGGCATATACCAAATTTATATGCTCAGAAATGCTTCTACACGCTACATAACATCTTGCTTGGTCGCAATTGTAAATGCTTCCACAATCTTCAACCACAAAAATACTCATAAAAATTCTGCAGCCATTAGAAGCCTTTATTAAAGCTATCACAGAAACCAGGTCACCTCTTATTTCTACTCTCTAGTTCTTCTCAACAAGTTTGATCCATTATACTTCTCCTAAAATTAGCTACCAATACATCTAGGAGACTATGAGCTAGATACTAGATGAGGAATTCCCAAATTCTGAAACTTAACAAAAGAAATGAGGTAAAGTTGGTATTTTAAAGTTTTCCACCATTTACAGATTAAAGTTGATTTTGATAGTCAACCCTTTTAAAATGGTATATTTTCATGTAAAGATTCATAATCGGAAACAGGTAACCCACTCTTTCACATGTCTTTCAGAACCAGCACTTAGAACTAGACAAGTTTTCTGCGGTGTTCTTTTTTTTTTGCATGTTCTTAATAAAGTCAACAGAAAACCATCCATAATGTCCACCTTTATAACAGTTGATTCAAAGGATTCAAGAATTCAGACCCAAACACTCAGCATCAACAGCCTCTTCTTATTAACATACTCAACATGACAATGATGTAGACCGCATTCAACTTGCAATAAGCATGTATCTCACCCCCTTGTGTCCCCTTCTTCTTTGAGAAGATTTGAAATCCACAGCTGACAACCACCTATCTTACACATTACTACCACGTGGGTCATCCATAAAACTCATAAAAATACTGATAGAAACCTATACAAAACACAACCAAACCTACCTATTTGTTAGCACCTATATTCACGACGGCATCATCTTGTGGCTTACTCTTCAGTGAAGGGAGCTTTCATTTGACTTACCATCATTTATATTACAAAGGGCCTCTAGACCTCCTTTCTTTTGCATTTTTCTTTCTTTTGGTACGAAGGTACCTTGAGTCCTCACTTTGCTTTCAACTCCCTCATCTCCCACTTCAACAAAGTTGGTGCTCAAGTTCCTTTTCTGGCATTAGATACCACATGCAGAAATTTATCTTTTTTTAATGTGCTCCCTTGATAGCTATTTCCATTTGATTTGAGGACTTCGAAGCAGATTTCAGTACTTAATGGTTTTCAACTCCTCTCCTCCAGCCTACAAGGATCTCTTCATCTGTGAGGAAAGAATTTCTTAATACACTATCAGAAATTATCAAGAGATAATTTCCCTCCACAATAGATTATTAGTCTCAGAAAAAAATTTCTCCTCCAGATCAATCTAGCAGTCATCAATAATAACATTGTAACGACCGATTGGTAATCTAACACGTTTGGGCAACTCCCTTTTCAGCATATCTTTGGCAATGAGTATCAGGAAAAAAGAGTTAAAAAGACCAATCCTAGAGGCTCTACTGAAGAATATCTTCTTCGTTTCAGCTATAAAAATCTCAAGAACACTTTTCAACAGAAAACCCTATCACTTTTTCCGGGTATAAAAAAAACAGCCAATTCCCCTAAAAATGAATGACTCCAAAATCATAGAGCTGCATATTATCCAAGATTCTCGAAAACATATCCCCTTTGGTTTTACAAGAGAAATGACAGCTAACTAAATAACAATATAGAATTCTACAGAAAAAGTAGCAACATAAGATTCGCTGTAGATGATTAGGTAATGGAATCACACAGATCAGTATGTAACTCTCAATGGACATATTTTAAGCAGTACAAAAAATAATTTCTATCCAAAAAAACATGTATGGAGGTTTTAAAGAAAACCCTACTAATGATGGAAGCCAATACCTTTCTCTCCACCTAAGAAGAGCTTCTAAAAGTGGTACCGGTGTATGCCGAGACACCATGGCTAATGAATCTAATACTTGCTCATAAGCGGGATCAGATGGTCGAAGGTATTGTCCATCCTGCTCATAAATGAGAGTTGAGAAGGGAAACACAATTCACAACTCTTGAAATGCTAGTGAAAAAAGTTCAGCTCCTGAATTAGAATAGCATGGGTTTTTCATTAAGAGAAAGTCAACGAGTCAAAAGGTGAACAAACAATATTAACCGGATGAGGAAAAGCAGCAATGCTAAATAGTTCGAGAATTAAAGAAATAGATACAGAGAAAAATGAAACCATTAAAGGATCATCTCTGATCGAACAGTCGTGACATTCTGACTCTGCGGATAAAACAAGTTCAAAACATAAAACAACGGAGAGTGTTTTGGTCAATGAGTGTAAGATTATGAAAAACTGAGAAGGGACTAAACACATTCAGACCATATCAGAAGAATGAGCCTAGACTGGACAAAGAGGGGATTTCTCTCATACCGGAAAGCAATCCTCTCAATAAAACCACAGGTGCGTTTTAATCCACTGTGAGAAACGGGTGGACCTATGCATTAAAACTCCCAAAGGACAGGAAACCAGACGTTATCCATTAGATGCTCTTCACTTAAAGATCATTGTCGCCTTAAAAAGTTAAGGGAACAATTACCAAAGAAATATTTGTTATTCCCATGAACATTTTGAATTTATCTCGGATTCAGCGAAATGATAATTAGTTATTTTTTAAACAGCAATGGATTTGATTCCCGTACATCGTCGTACGAGAAAATTTTCCAACGCCGCCTATACCTCGGGGACAGGCAACAATTCCAAGTGCAAACCACCGTAGAGTAAAGCGGACTAGCCACCCGCAAAAAGTGCGAACACGAGCTCTCCCTCGCTAAACGAGAGGAATTATCGCACTGGACCAAGACTGCCAAGAGAAGGGTGACGGAGTTAGGAAATGCCGAGGACATTAATCCCTTACCTGGGCCTGCGCTGTCTCGATACGGCGTCGTGCGAGCGGAAGGAAGCGCTGGAGCAGCGCTTCCACGATCAACTTGGCCGCCCCGCCTGCGTTCATCGTCTGCCACTCCCTCTTCTCCAACTATGAAGCCCCAGGCAGCATCGCCATCTTCTCACGGGGATTATTCGCACCACCCTTCCACCGCCCGCCGCCGCAGCATTGTCCGACCTAGGAGGTCGGCTTGTCGGGGTGGAAGACAGCGAGACAGCCGCCAACCGATGCCAATTGGAAGGTATTGAATGGAGGAAGAAGCGTGGGAGGGGAGTGGCTGGGCTAGGGATCGGCCTCTCTCACGCAAAAGCTGCGCGGTCTGCGTATGAACAAATGCGGATCAGTCCTCCAGGGGGGGGGCGGGGGGCAGCTACTGGCCACATGAATTACTAAAATACCCTCCCTCTTCATTCTTAGAACGAGACCTGATCCAGGGCTTTCGGGTCTAATTTATACCTCAATTGAATATGGGTTTTATTAATATAATAAGTCACAGGGGTCTAACTGAAATAAAAGACGGAGAAACACAACACGTAGCTAAAGACTCTCAATTGGGCCCGACCTTCCTGCCTAGGGGCCAACTGCCGGAGTACGGCCCACATTACCGGGAATCCCAGATCTCTCTCTCTGTCTATCTCTCGCTGTCAGAGTCTCAGCACAAGGGAAAAAACTGCACCCAGGACAAAATTTAGAGTGCTATCCACAGCATGTACATGTTGATGACACAGCACGACGAGGAGTTCGTCGAGAAAGGAGAGAGAGAAGCGCCGGAGCCGGTCCCTCGTCCTACTCAGGGGCCTGATCTTCGAGGCCGATGCTTTCGAGCCAGGGAACGATCTGCTGGGTCAACGGCCTCTGTTTAGGCGACTCGCTGAGGCAGAGGCAGGCGATCTCCAGCACGCGCGACAGCTGCCGCTCCCGCTTCTTGTCGTAGATGAAGGGGTCGAAGACCTCGGCTTCCCTCTTCTCCTTCCTCATCTGGATCACCCACGAGACCAGGTCTCTGCAACCCTTGGGCTTGCACATGTCAACGGGTCGCCGGCCGGTGAGAAGCTCCAGGAGGACCACCCCGAAGCTGTAGACGTCTCCCTTGAAGGTGGCGACGGAGGACTGGCCGTACTCCGGCGGGATGTAGCCCAAAGTCCCGACCAGGTCCGTCGTGACGTGGGTGTCGTAGGGGAGGACGAGCCTCGCGAGCCCAAAATCCGCCAGATGAGCTTCGAAGCCCTCGTCGAGGAGGATGTTGCTGGACTTGATGTCGCGGTGGAGGATGTGGGGCTGGCAGGACTGGTGCAGGTACGCCAGCCCCCTGGCGGAGCCCTTCGCTATCCGAAGCCTGGTGGGCCAGTCCAAGGCAGCGCCGCCGTTGGGATTCTCGTGGAGCCAGTAGTCCAAGCTTCCGTTCTCCATGTAGGAGTAGATCAGCAGCCTGTCCTTCCCTATCCTGCAGTATCCTTGGAGGAGAACCAGGTTCCTGTGCTGTGCCCTCGACAGCGCTTCGACCTCGGCTTGGAACTCCCTGTCCATCTGACCGTAGTCGCCGGAGAGCCGCTTGATCGCCACCTTCGTCCCGTCTGGGAGTGTGGCCTTGAAAACCAGCCCGAATCCCCCACAGCCGATGATGTTGGCCTGGTCGAAGTTGTCGGTAGACTGGAGTACGTCGTTGATACTGAGCCCCTTGTTCTCCCTGTTCTGGAACAGGAGGACGACCTTGGAACCCTGAAGACCAGAAGTATCTTCAGCATCCGTCGCCTCCTCCTTCTTCTCCGGGTCGCCCACCCTCCTGGAACGAGCCCTCGCGAAGATCAAGAACATCAGGGCCGCTATGAACGCCGCTCCGACGGCGATTCCGACGGCCATTCCCGCGATGAAGCTCTTGCTCCGCTTCCTCCTGCTTCCTCTGCTGAAGGGGGAGGGATCAGACGGGCAGGGGAGGTCGTGAACGCCACAGAGGCCGGGGTTTCCCACGAAGCTGGAGATTTGGAAGGTCGAGAACTGGCCTCCGAGGGGGATCTGGCCGGCTAGCTTGTTGTAGGCCACACTGAAACTCGATAGGAAAGATAGGTTGGTCAGTGAAGGAGGTATCCCCCCTGTAAGACTATTGTGGGACAAATCCAGGACCTCTAGCTTCTCCATGGAAGAAAGCTCCCCGGGGATAATTCCAGACAGATTATTTCTGCCCAGGTCCAAGACATGCACATTCCCAAGTTTCCCAAACTGGGGGGGGATGGATCCAGAGAGGAAATTATCACTCAGAAGTATAGAAGGCTTGAAGCTGTTGACTTGATTATACTGAAGCCCCGCCGCACTCCTGTTTGTTTTGCTGAAGAAGGGGAAATCCGCCGTAGAGGAATCGGGCATGGAACCGTCCTTGGAAACGAGGCTCTTCATCCGGCTTAAACTCTCGGGGATCGGACCCGTCAGCGAATTGTTGGACAAATCCAGGTAGAAGAGGAAGTCCAGGTTCCCGAAAAACGGAGGGATGGTCCCCTCCAGCTTGTTCCACGAGAGATCGAGAAGCTGAAGCTCGGAGCAGCCGCTCAACCACTGCGGAACCGGACCGGATAGGCCACAGTTCGCCACCACGAGGAGCTTCAGACTGTGAAAACCTTGGATTCCGGCCGAGGGCATCCCCTCTCCGCGGAAGTTTATGGTGAGAACCAGATTGGTGAGGTTCGGGCATTGTTGAAGGGTCTCGAACGCTGAGGCAATATTGGTCAGGGAATTGTTTGAGAGAGACAGGTATGTGAGCGACCTGAGGCTGTTGAAGCTCTTGGGTATTTCTCCGGTCAGAAGATTCCTAGCAAGGTTCAAGGTCTTCAATTCCTGGCAGAGGACGATACTCTGAGGGATTCCTCCACGGAAAAGATTCGAACCAAGATCGAGAAAGCTCAGACGAGGCATCGCCTTGAAGCCGAGATTAATCTCCCCGCTGAATAAGTTTTTCCTCAGATTGAGCACCTGAATCGTCGACAGGTTTGAGAGAGAAGGCGGCAGCTGGCCCTCGAACCAATTCGTCGACGCAACGAAATATCGCAATTTCTTCAGTCCACCAAACACGTCGGGAAGGTTCCCGGAGAAGTTGTTTGAGGAAATATCCAGCTCGACGAGGTGTGATAGATTGCCGAGTCTACTCAGATCTCCGGAGAGCCGATTATCTTGGAGATACAAGCGTGAGAGCGAAGCCATTTGGAACAAATCATCCGGCAGCTTCCCTGGTAGCTTATTCGAGTCGATGAATAGCTCAGCCAGGGAGCGGCAGTTCACGAAGCCCGCCGGAAAGGAACCGTGGAACTGATTAAAAGAGAACCGAAGGACCTTGATCTTGGTGGAGCTGGAGCAGATACTGGTGTTGATGGGACCGGAGAACCTGTTGAACCCAACATCGAAGACGGAAAGATTGGCGGACCCTGGAAGTACAGGATGGCTGCCGTTGAATTTGTTGAAGGAGAGGTTGAAAACTTGAACTGAGGGCAAAATAGAATCCGCCGGGACGACGCCGGAGAGGTCGTTGACGCTCAAATCGAGTCGTTCCAATCGCTGCAGTCGAAACAGCTCCGGAGGGACCGTGCCGCTGAACGAGTTGTTAGAGAGATTGAGAGATCGCAGACGATCCAGACGGACTAAAGCGTCGGAGAGGACCCCACTGATTTCCCTACGGCTGAGATCCAGCTCCACCACCCTTCTGCTTGAATCTGACGGAGTCGACGAGGAAGAATCGTCGCAGATGATGCCCGTCCAGCCACAGCAATCGATTGAGGAAGATGAAGATTCATTGAAATTCCAGCCATCAATTGCTCCCGAACCGACCTGCCTCGAGAAGTTCTGAAGGGCTGCCAGGTCACCGGGATCACATGCCGAGACCTGGGAATACACGATGGCAGCCTGACAGAAGGAGAGACTAAGCAGCAGAAGCAGCAGCAAGGAATTCCTCCTCTCCATCCGCATTCCAGAAAGAACCGCCGAGGAACCTGGACGACCCCCAGGGAGGAAGTGACGGAAAGACAAGGGCCGAGAAAATATGAGAGAAACGCCGGCGTGTAACCCTTCAAGGCTGAGCAGCTAGGGCTCCAAAATCCCCAATCCGAACGCCCAGGAAACCTTCGCCGCCGAGAGGAATTCCCCAGCACCACCGTCGACTATACTCACCAAAACAGACACAAAGCATGCGAAATAGCATCCCCTGCGATAGACGAGAAGATGGGAATGAGAGAGAGAGAGAGAGGGAGGGAGGGAGAAGGAGAGGGAGGGGAGAGAGGAGGGGGGGAGAAGGAGAGGGAGAGGGAGAGGAGCGGGGGACTCCTCGTCGCCGTCATCGAAGGAGTTAGATTTTTGACCATTCGATTTTCTTGCTTTATATGTCTCTGAGGAACTCCGATCGGGGGGCAGGTGGGAGGAAAAGGGAGTCTTTTGACCGGAGATCGCCGGTGGCTTCTGGTATAGAGCTCCGAGAAGCAATCAAGTCAAAGGTTGGAAGGCCTCCGCCCCCCCTTTTCTTCCTCCAACCCCCGCCGACCGACTTCGGAAAGCTGTAGCTGTCTCTGTTTGTCCTCACGCAGGAGCAAATCGAACCGTGGAAACTGTGAACGCGACACAACGACGGAGGACGGCGACGTGGCGGTCCAGAGGAAGCAGACCGGCCGGCGGTCGCTGTTAGCTCCGTAAGCGGAGGGAGGTAAAATTACCCCAAGTCAACAGCGGGAACAGTGGGAGCTAAAGCTGCCGGCGGCCGCCGTTAGCTCCGTAACCGGGGGGGAGGTAAAATTACCCAAGTCAACGGCGGGAACAATGGGAGCTAAAGCCGCCGCCGGTGATCGCGTTGCGGCGGTGATTGGAGAGTTTGAACGATCAGCTAGAGGCCAAGATTTGAAGAGTATGACGGAAGCTCGTTGACTTTCGGTGACGGGGACGGGCTCCCCATTTCAAATATTTATCCCCATTTTTATAATCTGTCCACGAACGTTTTGGTCAACTTTCGCAATAATGGATCCGATTTGGTAGCCGCGCGAAGATACATACGGAGGATAACATAATTGGATATTGAAGGGGCTTCTTCAACCGGTTCGCCCGTTGACGAAATGATGCTTCGTTGCTCCCGATTCTGTGATTGGTACAAGTCAACAGATCGAAGCTCCGAAACTGATTAGCTCGAGGTCCCCGAACGCCACGTCATTTCCACCCGTCGAGGGCGAAGTAGGTGAGCCGACGTGTCGGAAATCAGCGTAGGAAAACATAGCATCACACATTATTTGAATCATGACGTCGACAAATTTCCCAGAAAAATCCGAATGCATTTAAAATAAAAAACAGCGAGGTCAAGTAGCAGCAAAAAAAAGAGGGCCTGAAAAAACATAAAAATATATTAAAAGTGTGTGAGAAGCATCTTAAAAGGGCGAGGAGACGTAATTATTACCAGTCTAACTTAATCCCCACGTAAATAATAAGACGTTTGACGCGCTCGCGAGGTTAGACAGATCCCTGGAGCCTTCCAGAGTGCAGGCCGTGGCCACCGTGGCCACTTGGCCGTTCAACGACGCGCCCGCGGCGGTTGGCCTTCTTTCAATCGCCTATCATCGTCTCTAACCCGTCCCCGCAATTCTCACCACTACGTCGCCGCCGCCGTTCACGGAACTACGCCAGGAAATCGCAGGACGCCGCCCGCGACTCCTTTTCCCATCTTCACCGGTCCGATCTTGAAGCCCTCCGGGCGGCGGACGAATTGTGAATCCGGTGTATTAAATAAGAAACATTAGTAAATCTGATTTGAAATTGATAGATCGATACGTCCGTGTCTTTAATATTTATCTATGGACTACCTCGTGAAGGCTCCCGAGGGCGGCGCCGGCGAGGTTGACGTGCGTGCCCGCCGGGTTATTTACGCGTCTGGTTTATGGAACGGGGCGAGACACGGAAAGGACGGAGCGGAAGAACGAGAGATCCGTGAGAACATCTCCCCCTTTGTAGACTTCTCGATTACTAAACGTCGGTAGGGTTTTCTGTCACTCGTTCGACCACTCGGAACATCTCCCGGAATTTCTTTAATGTTAAGCTCGCAAAATGTTTATTGTAATTCTCGAAACTTATTCTGAAGAATTAATTCAGATGAGTCGAAGAAAAAGCGTTTTGGAAGGTCAAACGAACGTTTGGGGTTTTTTGCAATCGGCTCGGCAGATCGAGGTCAACGATCCATGAGGCGACGAAGAGTCGAGAAAGCCGATGAATGCCTGCCATTTCTTCCTCCCGCCGGTATTCAGGCTGTCCCACTTCTATTCAAACGAAGGGGCCACATTTATTATGACGCTGTCCCTGGCGGGAAGAAACGCCTCTCCGGTCCTCTGCGTTGGAGGCGACAGAGAACGCGCCACGTGGACAGAACCAGAGATCGGATTGACCCCTTCTGTCAACGGACGACAAGAGCACGAGGGCGCGCTCACCTGCCTCTTCACACGAGTCTTTTCCGAGTTGTGGAAGAAGGTCTGACCGAGATTGCCCTTTCGCTCCCCGGAGGTCGTCTTCGTCGACAGCTCGTTACTCACCGGAACTCTCGCATCGTAGCAGTGGGGTTGGTGATGAATCGGAAAGTCAAAAATTTCAGAATGTTCTTTACCGACTCGGCGTTTAGATTGTGTCGACTTCGAATGTCTCCTTTCCCACGCCCCCTGGACGAAGCACGCGGACAGAGAAAACGACGAATTCCGCAACCTCCTCCTTTCACACTGTCCGAACAGGTTTACGTCTCCCCCCCTCTCTCTCTCTCTCTCTCTCTCTCTCTCTCTCTCTCGATACACACGTACCCCTTGTATATATGTATATCAGTCGACGACGACGGCTTTGAAAAGATGCCACCAGTTGTGTATGCATCCAACCGAGGACTGAAAAGATGGCTTCTGGGATGGGCTGGGATGTAGTTTCATCATCAAGATGAGAACCCGTGGGAGGCTGCTTCTGTGGGTCAACCACGGTCGTCTTTCTGGTGCACCGCCAACAACGATACATAAATTATCGCATCACGAGCAGTCTTCACGCAAAGGCATCCCGGCGAGGGAGAACGAAAGCTCAACGGTCGCTCTCGCTGCACGTCTGCATGCTCACACGGCGGAGGAAATTGCACCACTCTGGACTGGAAAAGCCGGGAGGAAGGAGCACTGACTGCGGGAATGGCGAGTCCACGATAGCTCCCCCACTCGGCAATATTATTAACTACGATCGGCAGTAAGAAGAGGAGTGATAATGGAGGTAGTGGCGACTAATGCTTTCACCATCCACGGTTCGTGAGAAAAGAGGAAAAGGGTAATCGGTCTCTAGTGGCGTTCGTCGTCTTTCCATTAGAGACAAAGGCGACAAAACGTGGATCAGCCTGTGGGCGAGGGAGATGTCTGAGATTTCTAATAGCTCCTCCCTCGCGGGGTCAGCGCAATCAGTGCGATGGACTTTGAGGATTGAAAAGAGGAGACCAAATATGGTATAATCTTCTTTCCAGCGCACAGACGCATCACTAAAACGGGGAATTATTCCTCCTTTCGGGGGGGCTTCACTGCCGGTGTTCTGCCGAGGTGGAGGCGACTTGCTCCCCACGTTGAGAGGCCAGATGCTCGGAAGGTGGCCGTCGAAAGAGCTCCGGAAAGGGGCGGCTTTTGGCAGCCGGCGGCGGCCCTGCAATCACCTGCCATCTGTGTGGGGAGAAATATTCGCAGACGTTCAGTAGTGACGACTGATTCTACGCGCTGTTCTTTGTGTTCGTCGAATACTTTCAAGAACGAATGTGGGAAATCACCGGAGATCCTCTGTGCGGGTGATGCGCGAGAGCTGTTCTGTGGATTTCCACTTGGAACCCCTCACCCAGCCGTTTACAATCGGATTGCGCTGACTTTGTGAGTCGATGGCTTTCGCATCGACCGTGGGATTGTGCACTCTAAAAAACCCGTAGTTCATTGTTCTGAAGTAGAAGGCAGGATCATGCGTTGACATTACACGATCTTTGTCAACTTCCCTGTCACTGAAATGATAGATTTTTCTTTGATAAGCGTGATCGAAAACTCCACCGCTAACAGCTGTATCAACTCACGCGATGTTCCTGGGGTTGACCCCAACTGTCCGCGGAAGCGGACGTGCCAACTCCCAACCAAGAACAAGCCCAATTTCGGCCCAGCCCACTTCCGCTTCAACTCGTCGCAGGATTGATGAGTTTTAGTTAACTTAACTAAAATAAATTTGTTCCTGCCGAAAGAAAATTACTTTTTCGTTTTATTGGGCCAGAAGAAGAAAATTTCGGTCCGCTATGCCACCGTACCTCATCGGCGATCAGAAGATGGCGATACATTAGCGGTGGGTCCCATCATTCAGCTGAGGCGTCGAGTTCACTGCGACTCCGACCGATTGCTCCATTGCCTCCCCCCCACTCGGGGGTCTGTGCTGCCACCGGAGGAGGGAGCCAGATCTTCGATATTTGATCTCTTGCGCCGGATCCTCCTCCTCTCGTAGTCATCGGACCATACTTCCGGCGAATGGAGAGGCATTCGCTCTCTTCCTCAGACGACGAGGACGATGGGGAGGCCCTCATTGCGCAAATGGAAACGAAGGCCCCGCCCTCCCCCCGCGTCGCCGGCTTCGAGATTCGGGGGATCCCCGGTCGTGTCGGACGAGGCCTTGGCTCCAGCAAGAAGTGCCTCATCGCCCTTTGTCTACCGCTCCTCATCCTCGCCCCCTTCTTCTTTTTCAATTCCGGGAGTCTGTCCCGTGGCGTATCCGCCGTCAGCTTTGGTCCTCGCACTGAGAACAATCAGATGCTAGAGGGAGAGCTACGTGCCCTCTATCTCCTCAGGAACCAGCATCTAGGGCTTCTGCGCCTGTGGAACAGAACTACCGCTGCTTCGACCCGATCCAGCAGCATTGTCACCAGTCCTCCTCCTCCTCTGGTCACAAATTCGAACTCTACCAACTCCAGCCAGCAAATCCATCACCGGAGCGATTCTCTTTTGCCATCACAGCCGTCCATCTCTTTCGAGGAGTTCAGGTCGGGATTGCTCGAGCAAATCAAGCTGAACCAGCGGGTCCAGAGTGCCCTTCTATCTACTCATCGGGCGAACCCTCCAAACATGTCTTCAGAGGAAACAGGTGAAAATTTAGACGATCTTTTAAGTAGCTCCGGTGTTCTTGATGTCTGTAGGAAATTGGCCAAGCCTTCGGGGAGGAGGACTGTAGAATGGAAACCCAAGAAAAATAGGTTCCTCTTTGCGATATGTCTATCGGGACAGATGTCGAACCACTTAATCTGTCTGCATAAGCACATGTTCTTTGCAGCCCTCTTAGGTCGTGTACTGGTACTCCCAAGTCTCAAGGTTGATTACCACTATGAAAGGGTCATTGATGTTGACCACATCAATAAGTGCTTAGGCGAAAAAGTGGTTATCTCCTTTGAGGAATTTTCGGAAATAATGAAGAACCAGATGCACATAGACAGATTCATATGTTACGTGGCATCGCCTCCTTGTTTTGTTGACGAGGAACATGAGAAGAGGCTCAAGGGCATGGGTCTCTCCCTATCAAAGCTTGAAGCTGCATGGCCAGAGGATGCAAAGTTGAACCAACCAAAGAAGAGGACTGTGAATGATGTTAGGAGCAGGTTTTCGTGCAATGACAAGGTTCTGGCTATTGGGGACATGTTCTATGCCGATGTGGAGGAAGAGTGGATAATGCAGCCGGGAGGCCCCCTAGCCCACAAGTGTGAGACCTTGATCCAACCAAGTCGTCTCATTATCCTCACAGCACAGCGTTTTGTGCAGACGTTCTTGGGGAGCAACTACATCGCTCTGCATTTCAGAAGGCACGGCTTCCTGCAATTCTGGTAAGTTTCTCATCATTTTGGTGTCCTTTCAATTCGTTTGTGTGGAGAACACGTTATTGCCTGCAAAAGCATCTGTCTATGCATTTGAACATGTCCCAATAGCAGAGCGATGTCTACAAAAAGTTTTTTGAAGCATTGACATTTGAACTCATCTACAAGGTCAATTTGGCCTGTAAAGAAAGATAAAACTTAGTCAAGTTAATTGAGTTTTTTATTTCAGATGTTATATTCAGAAAAATGAATGTTGAAAGGGAAACGTTCTCTGGTTTTGTCATTCCTTTTCCTCGTCTTTTATCATTCTTTTATGACGAGAGCATAACTGGATTACACCTTTCTCTCGTTTGTGGGGTGGGAGCTCTGGTGACAGAGGAGAAGTCTGTTGGATTTTTCTGCTGACCTCTGTCTCTACGAGTGGAACCTGCTTGTCAGTGAGGTTTTGTTTTTCATTGATTCCCGCATGAATAGCTTCCATTCAAATCTGTGATTATGATTTCAGCCATGATTCTCAAGTGAATCCCGAAGTCCATGTCTTCAGAGGATGCATTTACGTGGAGTGTGTTCAGAGAAAGGAACCCAACAAACAGTGTTCTCTGACAATCTGTCCTCTGTAATATCTCCTTAATTTCTACATCTTGCTAAGTCTCGCTTCCCCATGTGCTTACCTTACTAAGCCTGTGCCAATTAGAGAAGATCCTAACTATGTGTCCTGGGTGTGCGTGCTAATCTTGCATCGCCATTCCTCAGATCCACTCCAGTATCTGCATGAGCTGTATTGGCCTCTCCCAGAGAGCATAGCCGTTTTGTTACTGTTGTGCATTGACCTGTAGTTGTATCCTGCATGCCGAGGATCCAGCCATATGATCCAGCACTGACCTGTATTGGCCTTGGACTATTTTGGCCTACGATACTTATCATTTTCTGTTGTGCGTGACAGTGTTGTAGAATCTTCTTGCACTGGAGAATGAAATTGAATGGTCTGGTTGTAGCAGCTACAATAATGGTGTTTTGGCTGCCAACTCTACTAGTTTGCAGTGCAATGCGATTACAATGGTAATGATGATGTATAGTTGGAGTTTCGAAATTGGGAGAACGGATGAGAATGGATTGAGGATGATGCTCACGACTGTGCCAATTACAATGGCCTTGACAAAACCTAAGGGGAGGTGGTGACGATGGAGCGTGGAGTAATATCATCAGTGATCATAAGTTACTACTTTTATTCATCAGAAAGGGAACATCTTTCGTTCAAATGAAAGTTGTTCGAGATGGTTTGAAGCAAAACAGATGATCGTTGCACTCATGTAGTGCTCCAATTTTTAATTATCACAGTACAGTCTCATTCTTCTCTATTAGGAAACTCTTCTTTAGGTGCAATATGTGATAGCAAAAGGAAAATTTCTGTCTGAATTAGTTGCTTTCATTCTGCAGTTATGTTATCTACTTCATAAACTTATTCAACTGTGAAACAGTATTGTCGCCTTGAGAACATATTACTCTCTGAATTACTTACTAGGGATCATTCCTTATGCAATTGTGAATCTTTACGATGCCGGAATGATTTCATCTTTGAAAACTTGTCAGATTGTATCTTTTTTGAGACTAGAGTCCTTAATTCCGTGAGGCTGACATAACATAATTTTTCGACCTTTCTTTCTCGAATGAATTCGCCGTCAGGGGAATGTTCCTTTGCCAAAAATATCGAAGTATAATCTTGATTTGATCTGACCGTATTATTGCATCAAAAGATTGTTCCAAGTCTTTGAAATTAGCCAAGAGTTCCCCATCAAATGGATACAAAAATCAAATAAACATTTCCTTATGGATTACTATCTTCTCTTCTCGTGTTTTTGTCCTTTTCTCGAATTGATCTGTTCACCAGCGACTTACGCCCATGGTTTGCGATACAAAAATACCATGTCTCGATGTCCGATGACATTTGTGTTTTATGCAACCCTGTAACCTGATAACCTGACATTTGTGTTTTCATCCTTCAACCGTGTAACCTGATAACCTATAAACCTCCTCACGAGACTGAGTTTTTGAGATGTCTGTTTTTGAAGTTTCAAATTTGGTTTGGAACTCTGCATCCTGAATTTAGCCAATATAGCGGTGTCTCTACCAATTGAATATTATTTTATATTTATTTATGGATGAATTTCGATGAAGACTTACTACGACTTTGGATGGTGCCCTATATTTCTGTAGCTTGGGTATTGAAGCTGCTATTCTATTCCTCTCAGACATTCCCCTCTTTCTTTTTCTAGTTCACTTATTGCAAAGGAAAAAATGAAGAAAAAGGAGGAAGAAGAGTCACATCTCTGGCTTTCATCGATTTTTCCCTAATGCATTGTGACAGGTTGTTTTTTTTTCCTTAAAAGTGAATTTTCTGCTTGATGGTGTTGTTTTCGCCACTTGAACTTTGGGTTGAGTTGAATCGATCCAGGGCGTTTGAAAATGTTCAGGAAACTGTGATTTGTGTGTAGCTTCTCCATCTAATGCTTGCATAATGAAGGTTCAAGAGGATTCTTCTTGAATTAATTTCCTTGAGCAGCTTGTATTTACCGCTTCGGCTGCATTACACTAGTTGCATTTTGAGAATTGAGCTGCGGAACTTTGTTTGGATTACGCGACTTAGATGTGTGCTCAAGACCTACTGATATGTGTGCTCAAGAAATCGATCTAATGATGCGAGTTCTTTCTTGGACAGTAACATAAAAAGCGAGAGCTGCTTCTTCCCTATCCCGCAAGCCGCTGAATGCATTCTTCGCGTAGTGGAGAAAGCCAATTCTCCCGTTATTTATCTCTCCACTGACGCAGCAGACAGCGAGACCAATCTTCTCCAGTCTCTAGTTATGTCAAATGGCAAGGTAATCCCTCTAGTTAAGAGACCAGGCCACAACTCAGTTGAGAAATGGGACGCCTTGCTGTACCGGCACCACATCGGGGGAGACAACCAGGTAGGCCTCCTGGGCTTCGGCCAGATTCCTTCTCTGCCGTCCAATTTGACAGCCCATGAGATATCCCCTCTCATGCATGAATGTAAATTCTTTGCTTTCCTTCTCGTCCGAAGGTCGAAGCCATGCTGGACAAGACAATCTGCGCCATGTCAAACGTGTTCATTGGATCATACGGCTCCACATTCACCGACGACATATTCCGGCTCCGAAAAGACTGGGGATCTTCGTCCGCTTGTGATGAGAACCTATGTCACGGGGAGAGACCAAACTTCATAGCCGACAAGGAATAAAGGGAAAAGGGTACTGAAGGGCAGCACTGTCCTCAATTTTAATCAGACCCAAGCCGGTGGATTCATCCTCAGCACGGTTGCGAGCAGTTGCTCGCATATTGCCGTGTCGTTTGCGTGCATTGTAAGATCCGTTCACCGGTTTAGGTAATGGCCCATCTCTATCTTCTGCCTACATATTGGCCCTCCTGTTAAAATAATCCGCCTATTCGGGCTTCCTCGTGTTTATGTTATAGAGCGCGCAGGCGGAGGAATCTAACTGTGGTTTCATTAAAGACTAAACACATTTCGGCAACCAACGCCAAGCACCAGATTGAAAATCCCCGTCAACAAAGACGTGGCATCGTTCCTTTTGAATCGGTCTCCACCGTGGACTTTCTCTGCAAGTGAACAATGCAACCGGGATGATGCGCCGTCTTCGAACCCCGCCACCATAGCCCGCAACTTGAAGGCGTACAGTGATGCCCCCACCGCCGTAGGGGAACAATCACAGTTGGCTCATGGCAGGCAGGTTCTGCAGCTCCGCCATTTAGTAGTGAAGTATCTGCAGCTCTTATTCGGCATGGAGAACTACTGGGCGCAGGTCCTCTGTTTTACACGTCCCCAGGAATACCAGGTTGACCCGTTCACTTGGCTAGGATTCACCTCTTCGGTTAATGGCGAGGGTACAATAAATGAGTATCATCGTCCCCACGCTGGACCTGAAAGAAGGCAATGCCGAGACTGTCATACCACACTGCGAAACCCTTATTCTGCTATTTACAGCATCTAGAGCAGGGTTTAATAACTGCGAAAGGGGCCCGGCTCCCAGATCTGTCATGTTATTCATGCTCACTGCGAAGGTGGCCCGAGAGAGACGGAATCAGTGGTTAAAAATTGAGCTAGCCGGTGAATTGGGCAGCGCTGGTTTCCTCCTCTTCCTAGTAGTTCTCAAAGGTTTCAATGGAAAGAGGAAGAGGAACTCACATGGTGGCGAAGAAGAGAAGTATCTTTCTGGGATGAACGGCCGTCAGACGGTTGAACCTCCTGCACTTCCCCTCCCCCGCATCCGCCAAGCTGGGTACACTTGCAGCAGAGTTGGCCGTAGCTAATGCTCTGCTGGCCGCCAAGGGATGCTTGAACTGGTCAAGCTGCGAGGAAACAACTGCAGAGAGGACCCGGTGAAGCTAATGCCTACCATAGGACGGCATTATATAACTCCCGCTAGGAGGGTGGTTGGCGACTGTCAGATGAATAAAAGCCACGGCCTCGATTCATGGCAGGCGCCAATAAAAGATGAGCAGGAAATATAATTAAGCTATGTGCCGACGGACCTTTCACCGTAAACTTCTTGGACGCATCGTCAGGCTCTTGCTCCTCGGGGCCCCGTCTCTCCATGCGGCTCGAGCCCTTCCGGGACAGAGCTTTCTGCAGAAGCAAGCCCCCATTTTTATTTTTATCTTTTAAATTTTTTTAGAGAGGAGATTAGCAGGGCCACTCACGGTCATCTTGGGACTTCCGGAGCATTTTTCTGAAGGCTGTGCGAGGCTTTCGATGTCCAGAACCAAGCTTGCCCCCTTCTCCAGAGCTGCTGCGTTCTGGGCCTGCGACGGGCAGCAAGATTAGACGCGGAATTACCCCCCATTGAACAAGGCAATCTAATTGTTGCGTCAATGAACCAGGAGGAGCCGCACACGGCGTAGGAAGACCAGCGTGGAGCGGATCAGGAGCAATTAAGGATAGGGCAGGGACACTACTACCTGCGCCGAGCCCTCCTCCTCTCGAGCCATTAAGGATAGGGGATTGGCCAAATGCAGAGGCGCTGCCACCCTCTCGGGCCGTCGTCCGCCGTCACCAGCTATATGCAGCCGACTTGACTGTTAGATAGCCCAGTTGACCAAAGACGCAAAAACCTAATTCATGACGCCTCTAACTCGTAATCATCGCCCGATAAACTACGTCTCGAATCTAATCTGTGGACTCATACGGTTGGCTCATCTCATGGGTTTGTATGAAGACCGAGCGGGGCGAATTTATCAACCTAAACGGAATGGGACCCCAACGGAATAAACCCATCTTTGGATCTTATCTGATCTACTTTATCTGGTTTTCTCTGGACATGGTGGTTCTGAGAAAAATGGGGTACAGTTTCTTCTGGGCGAATTAAAAAAATTGAAAAACCTCGATTGATCAACGTTCGCTTCGAAAAAAAGGGTGGGTTGGTGGGGGGGAGATGGAATACCCTTAAGATAATAAGATAAAAGCAAGGACTCCCGAGCCATGTGGAATACCTGGGTGGGTTGCGCTAGTTCTTGGCGGCTACCTTACGCGATAGATACAGCATTGATGAACCTTCAGTTCTGATCAACCACCGGCGGTCCCGGCAGTCCTCTGAGACGTACAGCCAGAAAAAAAAGAAAAAGAAAAATGGGAAATGAATTGCATGGACGAAGAACGGGAGCAACGTTATCCGTGTTCGTAATGACTCAATGAATAACATAAATAAAGTGGAAGAGAAAAGGAGAAAGACGAGTTCGGCAATGGCGTCGTAGTAATATTCTCGCATTACTCTGTTGAACTTTGTGGCGAAAAGAAGAGAAAAGAGACCGTCTTTTCAGCTCGGACGGAGACGACTCGTGCTACAAATGGGAAGACAGATTCCCCGGGGGGGGCGGAGATGGGGGGGAAGGGGAGGGAGAGAGAGAGAGAGAGAGAGAGAGAGAGAGATCCCGTTCGTCCCACGCAGACCGATGGGAGCGGGGGCAGTTACTCCACTTAAAAGAAGAGAATGGTGCGCGTATGTACTTAACGGAGCGCCGAGAAGAAGGAGAAAGCAAAGGAGGAGTAAGCGCAGGAACACGTGATGGAGAAAAATAGTAGAGTAAAGAAGGCAGAAGAGGAGGAACCAAGAAGGATGGATGATGGAGAACACTCCGGAAAATCTCCTACTCGTTAGAAATTCAAGGTCACTGTCGATAACCCCTCCCCGCTCCATTATAACTCCAATGTGAAGCCTTAGCCACTCCAACAATCAGCAAAACATAATCCCGGCGGTAGTGAGAAGTTGCCGGAGCATTTGCTCCTACCCTTTGCAGCGGCAATCTAAAAACAGCTATCGATTGAGAGGGACAACTCTCATCAGTCGCAATCCTTCCCTAGCCCTTTTCCCGTCTTTTAAGAACAAAAGTATAAAAACAAAGTGGAAAGGAAAAGCACAAGGGCGGGATATTCACCAGGCAACCGCCGACCGTCTGTAGGTGTATGTGTCCAACGCAAGCTTCCAAACGCGAATGGGAGGAAGTGTAGCAGGGGAAACAGAAGAGAAGGGAAAGAGGAAGAGGAAGAAGTGAGGAAGAGCAGCTCCCAACTAGGATCGAAAATAGACAGCACTGGGAGCCCACTGGAATAAGAAATGAGAAGCGAGGTGTGGAGCTCTGTCCACCGTTCCTCCTTTCCTGTCCCTGAGCTTATCTTTCACGCTGTCTTCTTTCGTCGCCTTCCTGCAGCTGCCAGTGCCAGTGCCAGTGCCACCGTCTCTGCCAAGCTCCTCGACCTTAGGGCTCACTGTTTGCTTCGGGCCTCACCGCGGCCACCGTAGCCTCTAGGTCTTCGGATAGAAGCGTGGAATGGAAGAGTTGGTACAGATAACCAGAAACAAAGGCCGAACGAGATGACCCTCTTGTCTCCTCTTTCTTCACAGCCTTCACCGCCACCCTCCGTTTTCTCTATCTCCCCCGTACCACCTTCCCCCCAGCGGCGGTCAACCACCCCCTCCGGTGCACATGGACGCGTGTGAAAAAAAAATTCTGTCTCATGGGCGTCTCGGGCTCTGCGGGGCCCACAACTCACGTGTGCCTTCAGACGCCCTGCCCCGCCCCGCCCCGCCCCGCCCCGCCCCGCCCCGCTCCACCCCTTTCTTACAGCGACAGATGTACCCTCCCGAATCCGCCGCCCATCACGTGAGGATCCAACGGCGCTACGAGAGGTCAGCCTTCATCCTGGGCCCTGAGAATGATGGACCGACCGCGAAACGACGACGGCGGTGGGCCGTCCAATAAGATTGCTGGAATCACAAATGGGCCCGAGCCACCTGGGCTCTCTCCAATCTGGCTCAGCTGTACTTCTGAGCGGACAACTTGGAGGCACATAAACAAATCTGACGGCCGATCCGCCAATCTGGAGATCGGACGGTCAGAACCCGCCAGCGGGAGATTGTCCGTTCGACTCCAAACGCGCTAGCACCGCTGGATCGTACTCCTACGGTGACGATTGGCCTACCGACGCCCAGAGAGTACATGCCGGGGTCGATCGACCGAACGGTGGCGGTCACGAAATCGGACCGTCCAATAACTGACCCTAAGATAGGTCGTACGCCTACTCTGATCATTTTACGTCGCCTCCGTCAGATGCCGTCCACTCCGCCGGCAAATCAGTAAAGTCATACTTTTTTTCTTTTGGCCCTTATGAAAGATAGGAGTTATAGATAAGTCCTCGATGCTCAATCATCCGAAATAAGCCGGGGCCGATGGGGGTTTAAGTAAATGGGCCATGTTATAACTTATATTGAGCCGACCCAATAGATAATTTATAGAGTTCGGCCCAATATACCATGCTGCCTTCTATTCTGCGGCTTCGCAGAATACCTCTCTGAACGTCTCTCGGTCTGTGTTTCCATGAGCCCGCTGGCCGATGTGCTGTACAGGAATGCCGAAGACCCTGTTCTGGCATGGCGAATGTTCAAGCACTTCCTCCAGTCCCCATCCTCCATCCGTTCCCTCCGGCCTTTGACGGCCATCTCCCGCATCGTCACGAGGGCCCGGATGCTCCCGGAGATTCGGGAGCTCCATCGCGATCTCCTCGCCCTCTGCTCGCCTGAGACGGCCTACGGCGCGCTCACCGTCCTCGCGCAGGCTTCAGCTCGGTCTGGCCTGCTCGATGAGGCCTTTTCGCAGTTACTCTCCCTCCGCAGCCACTTCTCCTCGACAGTCCCTCGTCTGTGCCTTTACAACTCTCTCTTGGAGTCGTCGTTCAAGGGGAATCGGCCGGACTTGGTGGAGCTCGTCTATAAGGATATGCTCGTCTCCGGGATCTCGCCGGAGACGTACACATTCAACCTACTGATGCTCTCTCTGTGCGAATCGGGTCGTCTCGCTGAGGCTCGCCGGTTGTTCGATAAAATGCCGACAAAAGGTTGTGCGCCAAATCAATTCAGCTTCGGTATCTTGGTCCGTGGATACTGCAGATCAGGGCTCAGTGTTAAAGCTGCGGAGCTCTTGAACATGATGGGGAGTTTCCGTTGCTCTCCAAATCAAACGATCTACAACACATTGGTATCCGGGTTCTGTAGGGAAGGCAAGGTTGACGAGGCAGAGAGATTGGTGGAGAGAATGAGAGGGGAGCATCTAAACCCAAATGTCGTCACTTTCAATTCAAGGATATCCGCTCTTTGCAAGGCAGGCAGTGTTGCAGAGGCTTCCAAGGTCTTCAGGGACATGCAGAGTGACAGTGAATTAGGCTTGCCTAGGCCAAACTCGGCCACTTACAATATAATGCTCGATGCATTCTGCAAAGGGGGCATGATCGCCGAGGCTGCGGGTCTAGTCGAGGCCATGAGAAGGGACGGTCTGTTTGGGAAGGTGGAGACCTACAACATTTGGCTGTCTGGTTTAGTGAGGTATGGAAAGCTGCTGGAGGCCCGGGCATTGTTGTCGGAGATGACACAAGCAGGTGTCGGACTTGACATATACACATATAACACCATGATTTTCGGCTTGTGCAGAGATGGGCTGATTTCAGATGCTCGGTCGCTGATGAAGGTGATGAGAGACAGAGAAATCAAGCCGGATACGGTGACCTACAGCACGATGCTGCATGCATATTGCGCCCAAAGGAAGGTTTCCGAGGCCAGTCGGGTTCTTCATGAGATGGTGAGAGATGGATGCCCTCCGAACACCTTCACCTGCAACATATTGTTGCGAAGCCTTTGGAGGGAAGGCAGGACTGAAGAAGCTGAACGACTCCTGCGGAAGATGAACGAAAAGGGCCTTGAGACGGACAAGGTGACCTGCAACACGGTGGTCGACGGCCTCTGCAAGAGCGGAAAGGTGGACGTGGCTATGGAGATCGTCGGCGACATGTGGCTTCATGGGAGCGCATCTCTTGGAGAGTTGGGAAACATGTTTCTTGGTATGTTAAGCGATGCCGGCAATGGCGCAAAGTGCTCTCCAGATGTGATCACCTATTCATCTGTGATCACCGCGCTATGCTCGGCGGGAAGATTCGATGAAGCGAAGAAGAAGTACGTTGAAATGGTGGGGGGGAACATTTCTCCCGATCAGGTCATCTATGAATCCTTCATTCACGGTTTCTGCGAGCACGGTAAGCTCTCCTCGGCCATCAAGGTTTTGAGAGACATGGAGAAAGGATGCCACGGCCCGAGCGTCAGAGCCTACAACGCTCTGATCCACAGTATGGGCCGGAAGAACCAGTTCGACCAGATCGACATCTTGAAGAAGGAAATGCGAGAACGAGGAATCGCCCCTGACGTGTTCACTTACAACAGTCTCATCAGCATCTTCTGTGAAGAGGGGAGGGAAACAGAGGCCGCCTCGCTACTGGATGAGATGTCGAACAGGGGCATCTCTCCATTGATTTCATCTTTGAGGTGCCTGATCATGGCCTTTTGCAAGTTGGGAAACTTTGAAGCGGCTCTTGGATCGTTTCGGAAGGGTTTATTCTTATGCGGCGGCCGGGAGGACGCCCTCTACAGCCTGATGTGCCGCGAGCTCTGCGCCCATGGGAAGCTGTCCGAGGCCAAGGAACTCTTCCGAGCCGCCGTAGAGAAGGGCATCGCCATTGAGCATGCCTCATACAAGTATCTGATCGCAGAACTGTGCAGGGGAGACAAGGCGGAAGACGCCCGCGGCATTCTCGATCTCCTGATGGGCAGGGGGTACATTTTTGATCCCGCCGCCTTCATGCCAGTGATCGATCATCTGGGCAAGAGGGGCAGCAAGCAGGAAGTCGACCGGCTCTCAGCGCTGATGATGGACATGATCTCCCTTCACGATGAGACAAGTTCCATTCTTTCTCACTGCCGAAGGGGAAGGAACGGTTTGGCGACATGGACGAGCTCCGAAGGGAAAGAATTCGCTCAGCGGCGGAAGCAAGACGGGCCGCATGACGCCGATTGGCAGGCCATATTAAACAAGTATGTGCATGCATATGAACCCACCCGCTCTCCTTATTCCCGATTCTCGGAGGAGAAAGAAACTTATTATTGGTCCTTTCCTTGCAGGGACGAAGGGAGCGGAATCGCCATGAAGATCCTCAAACAGGTGCAGAGAGGCTGGGGCCAGGGGGCCATTCCGAGGCTGAATCCTCCGAAGGGTGATTCTCACAGGGACTGGCTGGACGTAATCTGAGCGTCTTTCCTTGCTGGATGACTGTGCATAACTTGTTCATTTCGCTATCTGTCGGGAGAGCCCTTTACGACTTTCTTCGCCGTCGAACAGGCGAATTCGCCGGCGGTGATGGGATCTTCTCACTGCTCCAGCTGGCACTGTTCCAGAGTGGGGGCCGAAGACCTCGGGTCGGCTGAAAGTCCGATATTTTAATGCATAAAACGAGTGGGGGAGTAACTCGGAATAGTGGTGTATAGTGACCCGAAAGTGGATGGCACTGCTAACTGATGGAACCCTCCGCGTTTTAAAATGTTGATAGTATTAAAGCCGTGCGAACCAAGTTGGCGACTAATTCATAGACAATCGTTTTCTCAGCGATGGGAATTTGACCGGCCCGTTTGACGTGCGCTGGATCGGACGAATTCGTGGGTGTTTGTGAATAAATATCTTGACCAAGATCAGACCGGCGGATCGGATTTGATGGGGAAATCGGATCGAAGTGATTGAATCATACGCGTGTTTAATTAAATACAGTGGGAGATCCAGGTCAGTCAAAGTTGATGGGCTTATGCGGGCCAGATCCAGATATGTCTATCGCCACTCAGGACGCCCGATTTTTGTACGTATCATAGTTAGATACGGGGAAAGACGACGACTATTGGAGACATGAGTCTGGCCGAGCTTATATTCAATAGTCAACGCACGAGGAGCGCACAGGGAAAGTCAACAGCACAGCGGCGCGGAAAAGTCGACTCGATTCTTTAGAGTGACAGGCATCCGATTTTCGGCCGTTACGACGATGACCCCAATGCCTCATTATTGAGGGGGCACGTGAAATCCTCGCAAGTCGCTTCCGTCGATCGGCGAAGACCGGTGGAGGATATTCTCTGCAATCATCCCTAGGACGGCGACAGCCATCACGGCGGATTAAACAGTAAATTTTAGAATGAATTAATCCGGATAAAATTAAAGTTGATCCCTTTGCGGAATGAAAAGTGTGCGTCGAGCTCCTCCGAAGCAAGGCTTATGGCGGCGTCTGGCCAATTTCCACCCACCGCCGTCCGCTCTCTCCTTTAAAAGGCCCTCCAAATACTCCCCTTAATCCCCATACCCCGTACCTCTCCAAACGGCTCGAGCACCTACTCACTGAATCACCAGCAGAGAGAGAGAGAGAGAAAGAGAGAGGGTCATGGAAGAATTTATCTGCGAACCCCCCTTTGTAGTCCGGTACGGAGAATTTTTCCGCGATTCTTCCGGCCGCAACACCAGCCGGTGCCTGCACAATGAGAGGGAATGTGAACTGCCTTTGGTCGATCTCGGAGGTCTGAGTAGCGACGACGAGCGGGAGAGGCAGACCTGCGTCGCGGCCATGGCGGAAGCTTCGTCGGCGTGGGGCTTCTTTCAGGTTGTGAACCACGGGATCAGCCGAGAGCTCCTCGAGGAGATGAGGAGGGAACAGAAGAGCCTGTTTGAGATGCCCTTCGAGAGGAAGTCCAGCTGCTGCAAGCTCCTCAACGGGTCTTACCGGTGGGGAACGCCGACCGCCACGCGCGCCAGCCAGCTCAACTGGTCTGAGGCCTTCCACATCCCTCTTGCCAACATCTGCGAGGGGAACGAGGACCCCTCCAATGGAGACGAGGAAGAATTCACCTCGCTAAGGTAACAACACCACCCCTTCCCTCTCTCACTGCTTCACTCCGTTCTTCCCATTTCAAGGTCGGGCTTTCTGGTGTGCTCCACCAGGTGCAATGGCCATGAATAATATCCGTCTTGACATGCAGAGAGATTCTTCCACCTTGTCAGGGAGGCAATGGAGAGGTTCGCCGGTGCCATCTCCGAGCTCGCCGCGACGATCGCCGGTGTCCTCGCCGGCAACCTGGGCCACCGGGGGAAGCTCCCGGCGGAGAGCTGCAGCAAGGCGTCGTGCTTCCTCCGCCTCAACCGCTACCCGAGGTGCCCTTTCTCGCAGGAGGCCTTTGGGCTGGTGCCGCACACAGACAGCGATTTCATCACCGTCCTCCATCAAGACCAGGTCGGTGGGTTACAGCTGATGAAGGATTCCAACTGGGTTGCCGTCAGACCGAACCCCGACGCTCTCATCGTCAACATCGGAGACCTTTTCCAGGTGAGCCCCGCCGCGCGGCAACGCGCCACTCGTCTCCGTAGCTCATTTTTCCACAGTCACAGCTGGCTCCACCGCAGATTCGTCCGCCGTTGACATCGGGGGCCTCCTCACATGGGGACACCCGATACGAAGTGGACTGATACCATGAATACTTTTTACACGCAATCGCCGGTCACTGTTCTATAAATCTTCATAATTGTGTATACAAACCGTAGTTCGAAATGTATGATTTCACCGTTTGTATCGCGTGAATTTCTCCTCTTGAGATGAATATATGTCATATTTTCGCAAAACTCTAGTGAATTTTTCAAGGGAGCAGCACGTCCTCGAGTCGAACCCGCTCACACAGAAAAGTCAACTTCCCCAGTTAACGAGATGCTAATGTGGCCAACAATCGTTACCTTGGTCCCCAAAAAAATTGTTATAATTCACCCCCTCAAAAAGTTTTTTTCTCCTGTAATTGAAAACCCCAGGAAGATGCGCTCTGCGCGGCAGACAACCCTCATAGTTTACTAAAGGAAGGTTGATGCACCAAGTATGTCAACTCTTGCGGCGGATCATGCTCATCCGGAGCCCAACTTTTGGGGAAAGAGGGGCCGCTTTCCGGCGGAGTTGGCCGCCAGCGGGACCCTTCTGCTTCTTCGCCGTCATCATCTTCTTCTTCTCCTTCTGACGGGAGCTTTTCCTTGGGCTTGTCGGCAGGCGTGGAGCAACGACGTGTACAAGAGCGTAGAGCACCGGGTCCTCGCCTGCAGCGAGAAGGAGAGGTACTCCGTCGCCTACTTCATGTGCCCCTCATTCGATTCGGTCATCGGCTCCTGCAGCGAGCCCTCCCCCTACCGGAAGTTCACTTTCGGCGAGTACCGCCGCCAGGTGCAAGAGGACGTCAACGCCACCGGCCAGAAAATCGGCCTCCCCAGATTCCTCCGCTAGCTCTTCCGGCCGCCCAGATTGTTGCCAAATTTATCGACAGAGTAATATCCGATAAAATATCGTACAGTTGCTCATGTGACGAGCCATTCTATATACGCCATGTGAATGACGATCCGAGTCAACGCAGAGCACGCACCCGGGTCCATTTCCGATTCTACCGAATCTCTTGATGGGAGAACAGCCAAAATAATTCTTTTTAAGAATATGCACTACGTTTATATATGATGCCGACTTACCGGTTTTCAGAGAATACATCATCTGATAGCATACTCGCTAATAATGTTAAAAAACACAGGTTCCTGGTCAGGTGTTGAGTTGGCATGAGAGAGAGACGCGCCTTTCTTCCACCGCTTTCCTTCCTCTTCAGTATCCGTCTTGAGGCCGGGGTGCGAAGAAAGAATAAAAAGCGGGTGATGAAACTATGGCAGTAATGATCTCCGCATGGGAAGATCAACTACATGGTTTGGCTTGAAGTCCGTATTCTGACCTCCAGAGATGAATGAATGGCACCGACGGCAGTTGACTCCTCCAGTAGACACGGATGGAGGGCGGTGCTGTCCTACGCGGCCTACCAGGCGGAGATCTCAAGAACCCCCTGGCAAAAATTATGGCGATGGTGAATCCGGCAAGGACCCCCCGGTGATCCAACTCTCGGAACGAACGACTTCAAATCAGGAAACGAGACAAAGGGGGGTTGAGCTCTTGGATCCAACTTTCGCCTCCTGATGAGAATTTTTTTATCGATACGTGGGATTAGCTTTCCAGTACTTCCGGATACCAGATGATCGATAGGAGTGGACTGGGAAAGAGGGTATGGACTTCACCGGAGAGATGATCTAACGATTTACGGAAGGGAGAGAGGAGACCGCCTGCGGCCGCCAATTCGGCGGCGGGGAATCCAAACAAACAGACAGCGAAACAAGCAAAGGTCTCCCTCTCCAGAGAGCTCCAGAACGCAGGATGACCCAACGGAGGAGATCACAGACCAAGGAAGAAGAGAGACCCAGGAGGAGGCTCATCTCCCCGATTTACCCTCTCACTAGTCACTTACTGATCTGGCTCTTCTTTTCCATTGTGTTCTTGCCGATCCCTCTGCCTCGTCATCGATCTCCCACATCAGCGGAAACCCTATCATTGATCGTGGGAAAGGGAGTAACCAACTCCCAGTACAGCAGGGGGGCCATCCCAAAGTTCGAACTTTCCTGGCGGCGCCGACTTAGGCCCGGGCAAAGTTATACTTCCACTTTAGATTATGGCGTAGATTCAAACCGTGCTCCACATGCAAGCACGGTGCAGAAAATAAAATAAAATAAAATTAGATTAACATTTTTTTTTCTTTTTGCGTCCTAATGTCTCCGCCTCTCACTCACAATTCATAAGAAAGAGACATTCAGCAATTTCATTTCCTCTACGATTCCAAGACAGAAAGAGGAGGCTGCACTTGCCATTAAAGGAGAGAACACAGTGACCATACAGTCTTTTAATCCACCGCCTGCAGGCTGGGCGGGTCTTCCTCTTTTCCGCCCACCATGGCTTCCACAGGAGTCACAGAACTGCTCGTGATTTCAGCCTCTTCAAGAACAGAGTTGGTGTTGCTGACGTAGTCCAGGGCGGTGGTACGGGGGCCCGTCTTCTCAGAACTGGGACCAGAAGCAAGCTCCTCGGATTGTCTTGGCCCGTTCAAAGCGTCGCAGTGTGGGCAGTAGTAAGTTATGTAGGGGAAGTCGTCCTTTCTAGCGAGCCCTGGACAAATTGGAACGGGCCCATTAACATTTAATCAGATTATACTCCGCCTCCAAACCGCTGATCGAGTATTAACTGAAGAAAACAACGAGTGCTTGCAGGTACTCACCATTATGCATGCGGCAATTCACACAGATAACTGCGTAGCATTGGGTTGGATCATCTCCGACGAGCAGTGCAGCAATCCGGGATATCCACCCGCCGTCATCAGATCGTGGATTTTTGTCGTGTTCGACGACTTTCCGAGTCTGGGCGGGAACCTCTTGATCAGGGGATATTTCATCGATAAGTTGGGTCTGGATCTTGTCACTTTCTGCACTTTTATTTCTATGGGGATGTTTCCGATTCCGCAGTCCATCAGATTTAACCAGCTCAACGTGGCTGCTTTTCCCAGGTGAATTGTTCGAGTTTGATTCTTCTCCTACAAAGAATTTCATGCCGGTGTCTGCACCCAACTTTGATGCCAGAACAGCTGCAGCAGCTGCCTTGGCTGCTGGATCGAGATCGTATCTCTGTATAGAGAAAAGGTGAAGTCGATAAGGCAAGAGAGTTGAAGGCCTGCAAAGGGAAGATGCCAGAGCCCGATAAGTTATCGATAAGAAATTCAATGGGTGGAATGAGCACCTGAATAAGTTGTTGTGTGGTGTAGTAGTTGGTTCTTTCTTTAAGTTCATCTATCTTTGCTTTCCTTTCAGCTCTTAACCTTTCAAGTGCCTTCCGGTCCCTATGGTCAACTACAGATAGATACATTCTGTAAGATTCTATACACAACCAAATATGAAAGATTCTTATTATGATAAATCCATAACTATAGATGAAAAAAAAAATCTTAAAAAACGATCCACATGTGAGAGATATTTTCTTGTATGTATCACCCAAATCAGTGTCTTCCTCCTAATTTTCCATTCAACAGAGGAAGGGATCTCACTCGGGTGCCAGATCAAATACTGGGAACAATGGTCTGCTTAAATATCGACCCTTTGAATGGCATTAGACCATTGCAGCCCCATATGAGGTTGAGAAAAGGAGAAATAATGATAAGCAAAGGAGAGCAAAAGTAGTACGTCTCCAATCCAAAGAAAAATATTTTTCCAAGGGAAAAATATGCTAGACATGTCCAGCGATTTTGCACTATGACTCATTACAATTTTATGTTGCAACAATTAAATCCTGCTCGAATTTTTTTTACATATATTTATTCTTTCTGCAAATTAAACTCGCTGCCACTATCCAATAATCAGAACGAGGCATTTTCAAATAGATGCTTTCTTCCTGGTGGGAGCCTTAAAATACACTTCTGCGGACATATTTGAGCACCAAAAAAGGAAGTAGCCAGAAGGTTAAAACTACTTCCTCTGAAGAATGAGCGCACTTGGATTAACATGACTGTTTTTCGTCAATATCTTTCTCCACAGTGGAAGTAACAGCGAAAATAAAGAGTGAAGGGATCACAAAAGCCATAACAACAAGCGTAGTACGTTCTCTCTTGTTTACAAGCGGCCTTCAGAGGTAGGGCCTAGTAAAATCTGTGGATAAACGATCTGAAGGCAATTCCCGGCAGTTAGGTCTAAAATATCACACAGAAATAGTGGCATAGGGCCTAAGATGAAAGTTCAGATAATTTCAGATCTCTGAGTTAGACTTTTATTAAATCAGGGATGCGGATCTGTAGTTCAATGTCAGTATCTCTCAAAACCTTTCTTTAACGTTCTCTATCATAAAACAAGCTGCCGACTCTGAAATTCAAAATAAACCAGACAAATAGCTCTCAGAGCAACAAAAACCTGAAATTTAAAATGTTAAAAACTAAAAAAATGAAGATATGGCTGGAAAAGCAATTTTTATAAATATGTGTGCATAATTTATAAATACTTACGCATTCTTGTGAGGCTTACAAGTATTGAATAGACAGCAGAAGATAGAGTAGGTAAGGCAAACATTGGCAGAACCCTCAATGCCCTCATTTGCCAGCTCAAATCTACTGATCTTGTTGTAAGAACAGCATAAGCAACGGCTATTACCTGGTATATATCACCAAGGATCAAAAACTTGACTCAGGAAAACGGACCATTGGGCTTATCACAGTGACCAGGAGAAAATTAATATTCTAGCAAAAACTACTTCCCACCAAAGAAAAAAGAGAAGCCATCAATTTCTAACTAGGAGAAGAGAGCATAAATGCCTAGAGACATGATGTGAGATTTAAAGACACAATCATATAAACCATTGTGCAAGTCTTGAAATGTAAACTGGGTGTTCGCCAGTTTACATGAAAAGCAGATATCTAGATGTGACAAAACTGACAGTTGACTTCTAATATATTCAATGTTGATAGCAACGAGAGTTACTAATGATCCACTGGACCTCTTATCCTCCTCCTTATTTTCTGATAAACTCCAGAATTTTCCACTATCCATGACAAAAAGAATTCTAACAAACAGGTGACATATTAGACTTCTGCATTAGTTGTTTCCTTTTGTGTCATAAACCACAGACCTGTAAGGTCCATGCATAGATATTCACGTATTGGAAACAAAGCAATGGTGACAAGTTTTTATTATCTTTGCATATTTTGAACGATTCTCTCATATTATGAAATGGAGTCCACAATCTTCAGCTTGCCATACAATGATGAATGTACACAAAAGCCAGATTTCAAGAACTCAACAATACCGTAGCATTAGGCAGTCCCTGGAATGGGCAGTAGATAATTAAACAAATGCACATGTTCGACAATAAACCAATAGTAAATTCGCCGGCCCGACCACGTTGTTTCTCGCCATATTATTCATAGGCAGGCAATTAAATGAATCATAAATAAAGTAAACAGACGCTCCGACTAATCAACTGATAGCAAAATTCCATGGAATCGGGGCCATTTTACTTGTTCTCTAGGAAATCCCCAGTCATTAGGCAGCGCCATGTCTCCTCGACTTATTTCAAACGAACTCCGATCCGAAGTGAGAGGAGAAGAACAAGGAACTCACCTCCAGGACCACAGAGAAGACTATGATGTTCCTGACAGTCTTCCGCCAACGCTGAGCTCTTCTCTTCAACCGGACATGAACGGACGCCTCCTCCTTGGACAAATATTCCAACCTTTTCTCGTAGTCTTCACCTCCTTTAAAGATTTTCCCCCATATCCGTGACAAGATCCCTTTACGCTTCTTCGGATCAGAGGTCTGCGGCAATTTCTCCCCCGAAGAGTCAACCACCGCGGCCGACTCCTCTTTTCCATCCTCAGCCATTTCCTGAAAACACCGCCCACACCAGTACAAGATAATCACAGATCTCAGGACCAGGAAACGATGGGGGGATCATTACGAAATCGAAATTGCTGGATAACACATGCGAGGCAGGTACCTGATTCGAGGAGTCAAGATCCGCCTACAACGTCGAGGGAGCAGACTATCCCACAGAGGACGAAGAGGGAGAAAGATGGTCCTCAGTGACGCTACCTTCCTTTCTTTTTACGCTCTCCGGGCATCTTCTCGATCTACAGATTCCGAACTACTTTCCACAGCCCTCATCCCATCTGTAGCCGCGTCTAAATTGCTCCTCCCCTTCGCAGGAAGCCACACGGGGATTGGAATCTTAATCGCTTGGACTCTTCTCCCTTCAACCACGCTGTCGCGCGTCTTCCTGGATCCCTCCCCTGCCCCGAAAGTCTGTCTGATGCGACTCGACGTGGTCTAGTAAAACCTCGGCCCTCATCCGAGGATCTTAAATAGGCGGGAGTTCCGGTTACTTCTGTCGGATGCTTCCAGCAGACGCGGATTGTGAAGTCAATTTTCTAAAAGCTAATCAGACAAAACGGTGCTAAAATATTTTAGCTCGCCTGATTTCATGTGCGTCCAAAATAAACACGTGGAATGAAGACATACACATATATATATATATAATATGTGAAAAAAGGTCTGAAACAGCATAGATAAAACTGGGAACACATATTTTTCTGAATATGTTTCTATTTTTATTCTTAATTCACCCTTTACAAGTTCTTATTAGAAAATATCACACTAATAACCCTCAATCTTATGTATTATAATTATGTCCTTCCTATCCTGAAAATGTATTAGTGAATTATCAATTCATTTCACACCATCCACCATAAATTGAAGATTCCATGAATATCCTCTACATATATCAACTTGCATGCTTTTTTTTAATATATAAATGAGATTTAGGCATCAAAATTAAGGTGACTAAGAAACCATGGTCGCTAATGCACAAGGTAATGGATATGAGACCCTTTGGTTGAGACTACAAGGTTTGTGAATTCAGTCTAAGCTTACTAATATGATAATTTCATTTGGGCTTTTAAAATATTATAAAAATTCAAGAACTTGACAGGCGTTTGCCGATAGATAAGAGAATGCAAAGATTTATGATCAAAATAACCTTTGATAATTTGATATCTATAAACAAAGTCCCCTTTATAATATATAAAGAATTCTCATATGAGAAAGGGGGTATAAATAAGGGAGATTACAATAGAAAGAACGAGAAAGACGAGGATAACATGATGGACATGTTGGACCTCCAAGCAAAGCCAATTTGAGATGGCCACTCTCTTGATCTCCTAATTAAGTTTTCATCTCTCTTCTTGCTCCCTTCCTTCCAACTTGAGGGGGGGTAATCTTTATAATTGAGTTTTGTCCTCTCCTATTCTTCTATTCCCTGGTTGCTGCTAAACCAGCTTAATGGCCCACTTTCTCTTCCACCTTGTTGCCCTATTTTTATCTACTTGATCTAATCTTGTGGGATCTTGGGCCTCCTTAGGACTGTTGTAAGTGACCAAGTGATAGCATTATAATCATTGAATTAAAACACATTAAATTGAATATTTATATTGAATTTAGAAATTAAAAAATAATTTTAAAATTTAGTGAGTTCTCAAGTATGATTATCAAACCTAACATCAAATTTTCTTATCAAATACTTATTAAATCAAAATAACAAGATGAATTATATGAATTGATAGAGTGAGTAAACTTAAAAGAAAGAGAATTAAATTTCATAGAAGAACTTAGAAGCAAACAAAAATGAAATGAAAACCTAAAAAGGGGTGAAAAGGCATCATCAATTGATGAAATAAATAAAATAATAAAGGCATAGAAATTAATCCTCTTCAAATTCATGTGTCACTCAAAACATAAAGAGGGATGGTATAGTAAATCAAAGCTGTAAAGAAAGATAATAATGATTGAAATAAAATTCTCTTTTGATCCTTGTGTTACTTAAAGAGGAATAACAAGTACGAAATTATATTGTAGAAAAATAGTAGTGAAAAAATAGTAAAAAAACCTAATAGCCATCTATCACATAAGAGATTTGAGATGGGGGAAAGAAGGTCAAGTCGTCATTGTCGCTATCATGAACATTATACCAACTAACATCTCCATCACAATTGGCTCCTCTTGTACATGCCACACATGAGGGGAGCTTGCAGCCACTGTCGCCACTACTATTGTGCTCTATTCTTTCTCTCCTTGTCATGTAGGAGAGCTTACCACTACTGTTGCTGTCCACCACAGCCATTCTCACCACCATCTCCACCTGTCACATAGAGAGTAACCATGTGATGCTGGTGGGGCAAATGTCCTAACCTCATCATTTGAAGGGATGGCACCACCACAAGACGGGAAGGCCAACACAAGAATCATGTCATGTCGACATTGTGAACTTAGGATCCAAGATTTTAATTTTATTTATTATTAGGTTTTTCCTTTCATTTAGTTTCCTTTAACAAATTCTTGACCCTATATATAGGATTAGTACTGTAATGGACAGATTTTATAAATTTAGACATCATTTTCAAAGTTTGTCCTAAGGTTTCCTCACATCTGCCGCCGTTGCTGCCACCACCACCATTGTAACTGCTGCCGCTGCCACCATTGCTAAGAGGCGACCCTCCAGTGCTTGTCTGCCCATCATAAGTGCACAACTCCCCCTTCCATCCACTTGTGATCCACCATTCAAGAGCAAACATCTAATTTCCCTTGCCGCCGATCGCACTATCTACCAATCAGCACATTGTCATCTATTGCTGACAATGAACGACAACATTCATGATGACGAGTGTTGACTCATTGTGAGGCCCCGCTTTCAGGTTGTCAGCAGCTGATGCAGCCAGGGCCCTCTATCAATGTGTGCATGACTGCCATGCCACACATTTGCCCATTTCCCCTTGCATTGTATTAGCATTGAAGGTCTTTCCTTCACTATTTAGTGACTCATATTATTTCATCTAGTATTTTCTTGTGTGTTTTTCCGCCGCCATCGGATTTAACATAATAGATTTGTGTCTTCTCATGGTTAAACATTAGAGATTTTAAAATTGGAGATTTACTTATCGTGGTGGTAGTAAGACAATACTCATGCCCTCGACTAAGGAAAGGGGCTGCACCATCATCATTTTCTCTGGATTTAAAAGTTCAAATCAGTGGTGTGATTTTGTGGCTTGATTTATCCACCCCCACATTACCCTTAGTCAACCCACCATGTGTCTATCGTAGTTATCCTACGTCAGGTGCTCTCATCCCCTAACTCTCAATGTCTCCCCCTACTCTCTCTTTCTCTCTTCTCTTAAAAACCCTTCATTGTAATGGAAAAGTATTGGGATTAGGCATGATGTAATCAGCCCACTATCAATCCCAATATTCCTTTGAAAATTATAATGAATCCACTAAAATTCAAAATTTCCTTATGATTCTTCTACACTTCTTTTGCAAATTAAAATAGTTTTCAAGATATTGACTTTAGATATACACATTAGTACAAATTAAATCATCAAATGGTCATTTCTCAAGACTAATACACAGATTGACATATAAATTCATAACATGGATAATAATATATATATTTGTTTTTATTCAATTTAATTTTAATTATTATTCATTCAAGTAATTTTTTCCCTACATTTGACCTTCATTATCATATAAAAATAATACATTAACACTCTCCCAAACTTAAACATTCTTAGTCCCTTAAAAATAATTGTAGAAAGATTAAGTTAATACAAAAATAATTAAAAATAATGTGTTTCAAATAATGCTAATTTTCTAATGAAGACACTTGAGTCAAGCATGTATCTCAATTTCTATGGTGAGTCATAAGAGTCAAATTTTGTTTTCATTGTGTGAATACTCCTCTAGATACATTTTGTTGACACAAGAGAGGAAACCCTATAATCCATAATCCTCATCTAAGAAAGAAGAGGAGTACATGAGATTATATAGAAGAGACTAAGAAAGAGAGATGAGAAGAAAGAGATAGATAATGAGCCTTAATGGGTTAAGAATCCGATACCACTATCGAACACATTTTAAGCTCCATTTTCATCATTGCATAAGATCTAAATTTATAATCAACTAAATATTTAACACATAAGAGTATTCTCAATTATGCAATCCTTAACCTTTTTCCTAATATTCAAAGTTTAATAGCCCTTAATTCATATTTGTGTCATATGATAAGAACATGTAGCTTTTTCCTCAAGTTTCTTTTTCCTGACAAGAAGAGAGTGGATGATCACTTCCTTTATCTAATAACCTAATTATTTGAGCTGTGACTCTATCTTTTTTTAGTATTTTCTTCTCACTTTCGGGCTTCACACTAATAATCTTTTTACTTCTTTTGATATATAGAAGACTTTCATACTTCTCCTCTTAGGTGTTCAAGTTGAGACAAGAAGAATCTCACTCAAGCTTAAGTATTCAACAAACTTTTTAATATTGACTAGGTGTTGCCTACTGAATTGTAAAAAGTATATCTTATCAAATCTATCACTGAAATATAGAAATGGACATAAAGTGTAATATTATAGTTTAGTACACTACAATTCTTTTTTACCTATCCATAGTCATCTAAACATTTCATGAAATCAGTAAATACATTGAATTTTGCTCAACACATGAAGAATATTAAGGTTACTACATTAATATGTCATCTAAAAAAAAAACTCATGCAGTCTATATTTTCAGCAAACATTTCAAGAAAATAATTTAAGATTGAAATTTTGCTCACTTATGCCTTACCTCCCAACTTAATTTGAAATTGTCATCAATGACATACGAAATGAAAAATAAAAATTCATGCATAAGAGAGGTGCAGTTGAAAATATAAGACCTAAATGAAGCCAATTGTATTGTATGTTAGCTAGTACCTCACTATCAAATAGTTGGAGGCTTGCCCCAATCTTCCCCCCCACTCAAATCGTACTAGGAAAGAGTGCTTAATAGTTGTATCTGCTTTCTTCATATATGCAAAGTTTGTTTAACAAAAAAAAAGGAAAAAAAAAGCTACTATAAATATGACAAATGCTTGATTTCTTTGATGTTATTATGTGGATATAAAATTATAACAATAGAGGACAAAAAATTATAGAAAAGAAAAGACATTGGGTTGTATGTTCTCCCCTCTATAGATATATTGAAAAGAAAAACACACAAAACAAAAGTGAAAACCATAATAGAAAAATTAAAAAAATCGAGTTGTCTCCCAACCATGGCTAAATTTAATGTATTCAGCTAGACGTGTCAATACTCAAAAAATAAAAGATGGTTTAGTGCCATTAAGATATATATATATATATATATATATCCATCTAAAGGCTTTCTAAAATACTTTTCGAAGTAGATTTTTCTTCCCTCTATATTTTTTTGTTGGATATTCTTGACTATTTTGATTAAACTTTGAGGGGAGGGGAGGTTGATATCATTAAAAGTGCTACCAACTTCTATCTCGAGGAAAGTCAAAAATATTGTGACAGATAGGTGATTGAAATCATCATTTTTAGATAGAAAAGAGTGAGAGCTAATTGTAGATAATAATCATAGAATCAAATCCAAAAAAAGGCTATGAAATATTAAGTAAAATGTCATCTCTTATATTCATTGGTCTATGCATACTCTTAAGATATTTTAAGTTCCACTCTAAAAATTTAGTTAGAGATGCAATCGACTGCTTCCTCTGTATGAGTATGGTTTGGATTAGGGGACCCCAAATATTGGCACTCTCCCTTATCAAGGGACAATTCCTCCTCATGAGTTAGGCATCTCATGTCTCATACTTTTTTTGGTCTTCAATTTTTTACATCTACCTTTCCCTCATTTTTCAGAAATTTTATGATATCACTTAGTATGAATAGGTTTATCCACATGAGGGATTTGAGATCTCATATTATACACATGAGTAATAATGAATATGGTTGATACTTAATATTTTCCATATCTTTACACTGATTTTAATTCTTGATTCCATTGACCACACAATTATTCATCTTTTCTTGTCTTCTAATGTTAATTTCATTGATTCGAGCTAACTTGATAGTATGTAGAAGGTATGATGTTATAGAATTTAAAATGAGAATATTAACTTTCATACTTGTTCAAGCTGTAGGTAACACAACCTCTTTGAAGTCACATAATACTTGATCTATGAAAATCTATGCAAATTATAGTAAGGGATATAAAATTCCATAAGTGTTCATTGTATTGTTATCATAGTCTCATTCCTTGTGTCTTTGGTGCCTAATTTTCTTGATTCTCTACATTATTATCTCTTGTAATTTAGGTAGATGTAAAAGAAGATGTGACTTTTGCAAAGTCTGATTGGCCATATATGAGGTATATCCCATTCTCATGTGGTCAACTAGTTTGGGTTATTTAATCATCTAAGTCCCTAGTGGACTTAGATGATCGACTTTTTAAGTTCTAGTCAATCTTATTTTCTATTTATATCTGAATTTGTCCCCTCTCTTGACTCTTCCAACTTAATCATAATTATATCATCTTTTTTTCCTGACCAACTTTCATCCAAGTCACATTCATCATTTGACAAATTCTCATAGTCTATTTTTCATGAATTCCTTGATCTCACCTCCTTGTCCTCACCTTTACTATCTGCTCCTTTTGAGTTTTACTATTTCTTATAGAAGAGAATTTTTTTTATTCTTCCCTAATTTCCTCATATTCTGAAATATCAATGAATCTGATTTGAACTTTAGATGACATCTCCTTCTTAATTCATGATATATAGTTAACATACGAAAATAATGCTTACTTATTTATGGTTATTTTTCTTCTTCTTTGGATCCATTACTTGGGAGGAGATAGGGGAGTTCTCTTTTATTGTTAGGGTTCTCCCCACTATGAGTGGAGAAGAATTTCAAAGTGTTCTTCATTTTGATTTCAAAGTGTTCTTTTATTGTGATCTTGAGCAAGCATATTTACCTCCTCTTATTGATTGAGGGACAAGTAGCTATCCCTCTTTCCAACAGAGTTTCTTGAGCTGCTCGATTCTATATCAAGGTAACTCTCCCTTAGAGGTGTCACATAAATAATAAGGGCTTTAGAAATAACATTATTTTGAACAATTCTATCTTTCCTTTGTTAGACCCCTTCTAAATTTGAGTCTCTACCTCTTGCTTTATATTTGTGTCAACTTCCAAGTTGTTTTTAAGTTGACCCTTTTTCTCTACAATATTGTTTTTTATTTTTTTAGTTATTTTCCTAATGAAAAGTTTTCCTGACCTATTATTTAGTGGGTTCTTTGCTACTAACATGAACCAATAAGTCTCTTATTTTCTTGTTTTCCTCTCTCATCCCCCCCCCCTTTTCCCTTTCTTGGTACAATGTGTCTTTTCCCTTTTCCCTTTTTTGAACAATTCTATCTTTCCTTTGTTAGACCCCTTCTAAATTTGAGTCTCTACCTCTTGCTTTATATTTGTGTCAACTTCCAAGTTGTTTTTAAGTTGACCCTTTTTCTCTACAATATTGTTTTTTATTTTTTTAGTTATTTTCCTAATGAAAAGTTTTCCTGACCTATTATTTAGTGGGTTCTTTGCTACTAACATGAACCAATAAGTCTCTTATTTTCTTGTTTTCCTCTCTCATCCCCCCCCCCTTTTCCCTTTCTTGGTACAATGTGTTCCCTTTAGACTCATGTTGAAAAGTAATTATATTTTCTCTTTTAAGAATCAGGGCTCTAAGATCTCTAATTTATTCTCTATGAATTTTTATTTTTCATTCTTAAACTAAATGACCTAACCTCCAACAAAGGCTGTATATTGGGAGTTTATACACCACAATAACTTGTTTGATAATTTTTTCACATTCTTCATTCTATATGATTATAAATTATGAGATGAACTTTTATAAATTAACTTCTACACATCCTTGCATATATTTATTTTTACATCTATGTCTGTGTAAATAAATTTTTCTCTCATGGAAGCATAATACTTTTAAAGATTGGGGGTTTAAGAAATGAGTTTTCAACCTTGGGAAACCTATCCAAACATAAAGTTTAAATATTTATCTCTTGGGATAAAGCGTGGAGATCAGCAAATTGATCTCATTAATATACCTTCAATTGTCTACGCTACCATGCTCCATGCTAGCTGAAATTCTATATCTAATTTGAACTTAATAATAACATGATAGTTGTCTATGTTCCCCATAGAAATTTTACATTCAAGTCTGCTTATTCTTTTCAATTCATCCTTAATCTCTAATAAATTTGTCTAGCAAGTGAGAATTTCCTTACTATGACATTCATTTTTCAAAAAAAAGGGTGAATAATGTTTCAATTTACTCATTTGAAAATATGATAGTTTTATAACCATTTTCACACATAAATATTTCATGAAAATAGTATCTCATCCCCTCTAGGGGCCATTTAATTCCACTCACCCCTCATGTTGGTTCTCCTTTCTAAAATAGAGAGCTCCGTGCTTTTATTTGTTATGTATTCATATTTGGCTTTGTTCTAATTTTTCTGATTTTTGTATTTTTTTGGGGATTTGATATATACTGTTATCTAATTCAAGGTGATATTTGCATATGAATTTCTAAAAGAACAAGTATCAAATTAATATTATTTACCTCTACATACTTTTGATTTGACTTTAGCTCATGTTGTGTGAAGGTGACCCATGTCATAATGTTCCAATGTTTTCATTGATCATCCCTCACATTCCCTTCTTTATTTATTTTTTTGATTCATTTCCCTTCTTCTTTATATCCAAATGATGTGGTTTGTTTTGGAGTTGGTCATTTACATGGTGCCTCAAATTATCTTCCCCATCTTCAACTTCTCTTTTAGCACTTTGATGGACTCTTTGTTTGAGCTCCAAATGATGGAAATAAATAGGGGCCTCTTTAGGGGTCATTCATATATAGACATATGAACTAATTGGACTCACGTCAAGGGAGAGATGAGTATGTTGGGTTCACTGTGTCTAGGTAAAGTATTAAGAGAGTGAGGGTAAATTGATTTCCTAGATTTTCTTTTAGTTTTTTGTATGTACATATATATTTCGACACATGTTGCAACATAATCTATCTAATTTATATACAACTTGATCTAAATCTATTCCTTTCACTATGAGGTCACCCAAGTTTCTTTCTCCCACATGTGACAATAATTACTACATAGATTTTATATTACTTCATCACTATTTGGGCTACATTTAATATCAAAGGATACTCTTACTAGATTTTTACTATTTCTCAATAGGAATATAGTTAATTTAATATTCTCATAACATCATGTATCCAACATCATCCACATACGTATATTGATTCCTAGTACTTCGTGCCTTGGTCTTAACTTTTATTTACTCACCACTTGGATTGTCTTAAGGCCTGATGAAGAGTGATGACCTTTAGCTTATGACTTAAGGCTTAGTTCATATGACTCACTTGAAGGTTTAAGGTTCGGTTGTTCAATTCATAAGTTGGCACATATGAGTGTATAGATTGAAGCTTTGAAACTTTTTTAAAGATGTACAATCATTTTATTGTAGAAAGTTGGGTAGATCTTCTTAAGCTATTGTGAGTGATGTGGATGAAAAAAAAAATCATTCAACATTATCTTTATTTGTCTTTAACTTTATTTATACTTAAATAGGTTTATGTCATTTTAACATCTTAAAATAGTCATATTAATTTAAATATTTTCTTGTTACTCTATTGGTGCTTTTGTGGACTTCATTGATTTTTACTTTAAAACTTTTCTTACATGGTGATGATTATTGATGCAGAACGGGGCAAGAACCCCTTAAACTTGGTCAATGAAACTCGAGTCTCGAGATAGGGCAGTTAGACCGATCTAATAAGAATTTTTGGACCCTAGACTCTAAGTCTGACCATGTAACCTAAGCACAGGCATGCGTACTAATATGCGTGATCAACCCAAGACAACCCAAAGAAACACTCGACGATGGTAAGTGAGAGGCCTTCTCAATCCACGTTTGA